TCCAGATCCTGGTTGCGTGACATTGAACTTTGTGTACATATAGGTGACAAAGAATAAATAGAAGACGCCAACACTTTTTCTTTTGATGAGCAAATACTCAAGTGAATGGAATGAATGTTCCAAGGTTATGAAGGTCATTATCATGATTAGAGGTTGTTCAACTAAGTCCGGTTCCTGGTTTAATCACTGGTCTTCAACTTGAATTTTATTTCTAGATTTAAGTTCTATTCTCTGTTCAGTATGGCCCATTTGAATGAAGAAAAGGTTCTAACTGAGAAAGGCAAATTGTTAGCCTGATTACTACGTAGCTGTTATATTCCATAGGCTTTCATATGTGCCACCCAGTTCCTAAAAGTTAAAAGTTGGCTTGAAAGTTCTAAACCGTGTTGCATAAAATCCTGTTATCAATAACAAGTTACAATTGATGAAAGCTCCAGCAATCATTGCATTAGATCGGCTGAGGGCATTATCATTGTAAAAGTGTGCCATTTGTTATTGATAACAAGTTTTGACCTAGGGCCCCGGTCGTTTTAAAAGTTGTGTTGAAGAAGATAACATTTGCAATGTCGTTATTCTTGAATTAATGATAAGCACAAAGTCACTCCATTCCGTTCAATTACTACAGAAAATTAGGTGATAAATGTAATACCTGTTAATGTATGGTCGTGATGATGCAATAGTTTCAAAGTAAATAAAGTAATTGGTTCATAGAGAAAGGGTCTTCAGCAAATTGAGTAATTCTGTAAACAATGCTTTTCTATTGTGGGGATTGAGTAATCTGTGCTTTGCATAGAACTACAAACCACATAATAAGTGAATAGATATGCTTGGATAATTATCCTATCCGGAAGAAAAAAAAGAAATGACGATAGGAAGAAAGAAAGGGAAAGGGAGACAGAGAGAGAGAGAGAGAGAGAGAGGGGGGGGGGGGGAAGGGAGAGAAAAAAGAGAGAAGATGGGTGAGAGAGAGAGAGAGAGAGAGAGAGTGGGAAGTGAGAGAGAGTAAGATATATAGAAACAGGAAACAATGTATATCATTTTCTTGGAAAACGCCTCATCTCCCGTTTGTTGACCCCGTAAATGCTTCCCATGTAGGTTTTTGTTCCATCAAATCAAGCAGAATCAAATCGTTTTCGGCTCATCAAAATAGTAATATCAGAAGAAAAATAGAGCTCGTATGGTCATTGACCCTAAACCACTAAACTATAGGGTTTGAGGCTTTTTCAGATAATGTCAGCAGAAAATAAGGATTTTTATAGAAAAAATGCAGCAATTTTCCGTCTATGTTGATTAATGATGACTGGCAGACGAGGGAGGGAAGGAAGAGTGGGATTGTAAGTTATGTGTGGTTATACCAGCTTTGCTCCATGCGAGCAGCGAGCGAGTGTTAGTTGAAGATTTAAGAGAAGAAACTTGGGGTATACCTTAGGGAGGAATAGCTGTCAAACCACAGGGACTATCAAACTATGGGGATGAAGGAAAGAGAATACTTTCTAGTGTGATATGAGAGATGGGTGGTATAGGGTCATTTCTCCCTCTCTCTTTATGCACCCTGTTGAATCGCTTGTTATGCTCATAATTCATTAGCTTTCTGGGAAATTTACATTGTTGGTAGCTTGCGCTTCTGAAGGAATCGTGAGAGTTCTATTCAGTTTCTCTCTTTTCAATGGTGTCCTTTTTCTCTTTCTTGTTTGTTTTTTGTTGGTGGCGGCATTTCTTTTGGTCAAATATGAAGTGATTGTAACTGTTTCTGCTCAATCAGGGCACTATTAAAAAAGTGTGTCATCCTTCAGAGTTTTAAAGATAAACTCCAGTTTTGGTAAAAAAAAGAAAATTAATTCTCACAGAATCAAACAAAACTTACACTGAATGTTCAAGATTACAAATAAATGACATGTGCCAAACAATTTTGGAAAAAAAAATGTATACTGGCTGAGTAATGAGCATAGAAAGACAAGGAAATCAAGGTAGTACTAGCCCTGACACCATGTGTGTTGTCCCATATATAGCTTTCTGTGTACAGTGCTCGTTACTTTACCAAGACTCGGCCAAATTTATGATGATTTTGATGACTCCAGAACCTTGCAGTGCACACCAATACTTACATGCTACATGATCAAATGTTTCTGATCCTTTCCACACCTTTTCTTTCACAATGCAATCGCATTACCAGAACTGGAGTTTATCTTTAATCAGAAAGTTAGGGGTTTGGTCCATGACCTGTTTCTATATAGCCTTGGCAAATTAAGGCATTTTGTTACCATTGCCTCTCTAGACCCAGGTATAGTATTCCATGTCTTGATCGGAGTGATAACAAAGTACACAATACAGAAACTTGACTTAAAATTGTGCATTATCATAATCATATTTATTGTCTTCATCGTTATTATTCTAACAGTCTAACCCTCTGTATATATATATTCTGTGTTATTATCTTTCATCTCTTCCAGTATTACATGAAGATTTCTTTACATTCATTTTGTTTCTATCTTTCTCTTTATGTTCTTTTATAAACCTCTGACCTTTTTTCTAATTATTTATTATGTAACTTGAACCCTCCCCCATATTCCATACAAGTTTGATACTCCTTCATATTGTAAACATCCCAATGTTTCATATTGTAAACATCCAAATGTTCATATTGTAAACATCCAAATGTTTCATATTGTAAACATCCCAATGTTTAAGTGGAAAAGTGATGTCATCATTTCCTTGAAACGGATGCTTCGCCAGAAAGCCCCTGGACACATTATTACTTCTCATTTATTGAATGTCATATAAACTAACTGTGCCAAGAAATGTAAAGTTATTGAGTTACTGGAATCTAGAGCAATAAACTCTGACTCGGAGTTGAAAGAACTCACTTCAATGTCAATATGTTTTCAACAAGAAAGGAAGATAATGCATACGGAAATAAATCAGAGTATAATTTGTAGTTGTTAGTAGTGCATGCATGTATTTGCAATGGTTTTGTACAAAATATTGAATGATTAATTCATTGAGGAGGAAAGTATCTATATTTTTCTCTGAAATAGGCCTAATGCATTTCTTGTACTTGGTTTTATTTTAGGATATTTCTTTTTTTAGATTTCTTGATTTTATTAATACGTGTATCATTATTATATCATTCATATTTTTGGAAAGCTAAAGTTAATGTTTTTAAAAAAATTGGTTCCCTTTAAGTTTACAGGGTGAAAAATAGAGCAAAATGCACAAAAATGAGCGTGAACTGGCCAGTTTCCAGACCCCACCACATACATACCCACTAATCCCCACTCACGATCGCTTCATCTCTAACAGGGTACTCACTACCCTGGTCATTTAGAAAACTTGATTAAAAGTCATTACCGAGAATTGAACATTATTAGTAACATACCTCCAAACACTTGGCCATGCCAATATAACACATAAGATGTCATCACTGATTTCCTCACCTAAGCCTGTGTTGGTGGAAGGTTTTTACAATGCCTTAATTCAATTCCAATTCGTCAAAATACTATTTGATAATACAGCCAAATAAAAAAGACAAAATAAATCTAATGATGTGAAGTATATGTTCATTTCCATCTTGTAAATGCAGCTACAAGAATAAGTGTACACAAGTCCAAAAGCTTAGATTGTACAATTGAATGGGTTCCTTTTTATGATTCACTATTTGGTTAGGGCATAATTTCACCAAAAAAATGATTGAGGGTTAGGGCGTTTTGTTATTTAGCTTAGGTTTCAGTATATGGTTAGGATTAGGATTAGACTTTGTGTTTGGTCCAATACCTGAAGTTAGGAATGTTTTTAGTGCTGTACCGGTAAATTGAAAGGGGAACTTTTCTTCTTAGAGGATATGTCATATGATCTTTACTGAAAACTGGTTTACATACTACCTCTGAAAATGTCTGTATTATTAGATCATGAATTTTGCTTTAAAAAAAAACATGAATACTCAAGGGATATAAGGAAAGCTCATTATATCCTTTAATAGGCTTGTTGAGGATTATTTTGTGGTATAAAATTGGCCATCACTTTTGACAGATGCTAAAAGTAAAACAGGGATTAGAGGAATGCAATTCAATTTTCAGTAATTTTTTGGCAAATATATGTAATTGACCCTACCTGTTGATTTCAATTCTATATTAGAAATTGAATCTAGGAGGATTAAATGATTGTTAGAAACTAAACATGCATTAGTTATTAAATTAGGTGATAGTGCATGATGGAGATAAACTTGTTGTAGGTACATGTTGATAAAACATGAACTTGTTGAAAATTCTTGCTATAAAAGGTTTGTTTTGAAAATGCAATAGTAGGCCCGCTAGATTATTTTATTTTAAAAAAATCGACATCTAAATTACAGAATTAGTTACTTTCAAATTTTATATTCAGACACATCTCTTTTCAGTAAATATTCTGAAGATAATTTTTTTTTTTTGTGGCTGCGTTTATTCTAATCTCTGACTAGATCAATCGATTTTCTATCTTCTTTTCAGAGAACGATGCTTCAGTTTATGAGAGAGAAAGATGAAAGATACATAGAGTCAGCCACAAGGTGGCAGCATTTCACTCAGTCACAGTGTCCCCAAAACAATATAAAATGTGTATAATAAGATTGTGTCTCACATACTTCAGGAATGGGGAAAAGATATTGTTACCATTTTAACATTCCTTTAAAGAATATGAAAGAAATTCTATTTTAGAATGGTTCCACTGTTACTGTATATATCTTTTTCTATAAATCCTCCAACATTTTGATAGATAAAACAAAAGTCATTTGAAAATTCTAAAGGACATAAGATTTAATTTCTTTTCATTGATAGTAGACTGCATCCACATTGACAGAGATGGCAGTATTTAATATTATAGAACAGTCAAAGAGCAGTGCACTTGTATCATTACCAATATGCATTTAACTTCTCATATTATTAGAAATACAGTTTGACACTAAACAGATGCAGCTTCCACACGCTTTAATTTTGTACAACAATTCTTTTGTCTCTTTTTTTCATCAGGTTTGCTTTGGGAGATTGTAAGAAGCCTGTGTATGAGTCTGCATCACTGATTGAAGATATCGTCCACCATCAGATGACTATTCTGGTAAGTGTGAGATATCAACATTACTTTATACTGCCCATGACAGGAAACAGTGGAACTCCTTTCATTTCTTTTCATAAAAAAAGAAAAAAAGAAGAAAGGCGAAACAAAAAAAGGAGGAACAACATTGAGAGCCAGATTTATAAAAGAAGCAGTTACTTGAGTTACTTTTGAAGGATCCTTTTGATAATCATGGTTATCCCTCTCAGGCCAGTTAAATAAATTCAAATTAAAAATCTTTTCATTTAGAAAAAAAAAGGAAATTATATGAATATGTTTCAGGTAATTAATCATATTTCATCCCATATGGATTAGGAAATAATAATATTAATAGTTCGGCCTTATATAGCGCTTTTCGGGACCGCAGAACCTCTCAAAGTGATTTACAGATATACATTTTAAACACGCATAATTCTTGGTGAGATATTCCTCTTACATATTGAAATACTGCAATTTGTACATATGAATAGCAAATGAATTCAATGAAACACCAAATCCTTTAGACCCTTATTTTTATTTATTTTTTTTCTCTACTTTTTTTTTTAAACACTGATTTGTAATGCTTCTTGTAATTGCTTACAATATAGAATGTTATAGAATCTTAGGAAATACTCGCACTGAAAGACTCATGATCATACAACTCTTGAGGAAAATGTAGGCCTTTCATTCAATGTTGTTGCTTGTGCTTCATGATCCTGATATTTAAAGAAATTCCACCCTATTTTCTTTTACAGCTGCAGAGGGCAGCAGACGTCTGTATCCTGAGAGGGGCAAGGTTTACCAGCATTGAAGACTTCATTTTCTTAATGAGAAAGGATCACGATAAACTGAGAAGATTGTTCCAGTTCCTGAGCTTCAAAGATATGGGCACTAAGATTAGCAGACAAATCAGTATTGAGGAGGAGGAGGATATATCAGATGGTAAGAAGTAATGAAGGGAGGGAGAGTAAGATATATAGATAGAAAGATAGATAGATAGATAGATAGATAGATAGATAGATAGATAGATAGATAGATAGATAGATAGATAGATAGATAGATAGATAGATAGATAGATAGATAGATAGAGAGGGGAGAGAGACAGACAGACAGACAGAGAAAGAAGTGAGAGGAATAAGAAAGAGAGAGATAGAGATGATGAGAACAAAATTGGAGATAAAGAAATAAACAAGAGAATCGCAAGAGCGATCAAGGTAGGATTAGAAAATGTATTTCAAAAGAGAAAGTCGTCTTAAAAGATAATATGAATAAAAAGAGATAAAAACAGAGAAAAAGATAGATCTAGTCAAGATATTGAGAAGAAGTTTATAATCGGATTGTGATAATGAACAGAAATACACTGCTCAGACTCAGAGCCAGAAGGGCATTGCCATTAAACATAGTGTTCACATCCTTTATGGCTTTCGCCAGACAATATTATGCAGATGAGAATGATGGCGGGGAGTAGGTGCTGAGCAAAATCTTTACGATATTCACTTTTTTTAAAGGCTAGTCTTTAACAAAATTTCTATAGTTTGTATGACTGAACATTAATTTTGTTCTTCAGAGCTAAAAGCAACACAGGCCAAAAGACGAAAGCTATGTCAGGACATCCTGTCCAGTATTGACCACACAGGGGAGCTGTCTATGTTGCTGGAATCTGACGAGGTAGATGCCATCAAGCTTGAGAGACAGGACAGAGCTGATCAGAAGGCTCGAGGAATGGACTTGAATTCTTACAAGGAGTATGCAGAGGCTAGGAGAATGAACTTCAGTAAGTTTGTGATGTTTAGTTGTAGTACCTCTTGAATTATAGGGGAGCAATGAGAATTTCCAGCACCTTTAAAGTGAAAACAGCTGAAATACTGGAATGTTATTTATAATGATTATAATATAATATTGTTTTTTATAAACTAATAAATAAACTTTATGAACATACACTCTTCACACACTTCATTATATTGTAAAAGACAGATTCTATGAGTAAATTTAAAAAAGAATTTTGGTCTGTTTCTATTAAACCTATTGCATTTGTAGTCTATTGATGTTTCATATAATTTTGTTCCCTTTTCAGTCAAGAAAGCGAGCAAGTTCAAGGAATGGTTAGACATAGGCAACCTGGAGCCTAAACCCAATGCTTTTGCTATGGAGATTGTAGGCTTCCTGGCTCATGATACGGTAGCACAGGTGAGTCTCTCTAAATACAATGAGGTTACTTTTAATGCTTCTATGTCATGGATTGAATGGAAGGGGCTGATCATTATCTGTTTGTTTCAGTTGGTGTGTTTTTGTTTGTTTATTTGTTAGGTGGTGTATATGTCTCAGGTAATTGAATGATACTTTTGAGACTAAAATGGTAAGATTTAAATAACAGAAAGGAAACAACACACAACTAATGGTGCACATTATACTGGTGTTACTACCTTGTAACTTTAGGTTTTGCACATGTAAGTCAAAGGTTCTGTTTTGCAGCATTCACCAAACATTCTAGCACATTGAGCTCTACCAAAACCAACCGTGAAATCATCTGCTCTGTCAAAGGATAATGCATGTTCAAAATATTGGTTTTAAAATTACATGTCTAACAATAACTTTTTGTTCTCTTTTACTATCATCCTCAGATTGTGGATCTCTCTTTGCTAGTCCAGAGGGACATGTTAGTTTCACCTTGTGACCCCATCTCTAAATCTATGACCCCTATCTATTTCAGTAACCTTTCACCCTTAGCCACCCACCCCCACCATGCCAAACTCAAGTCAGCCAACACCCCTCCCACCACTCCCTCACAGTCTCCTGTCCCTTCTTCCCCTAAGTCCCCCACAGACAAAATGGTATCACCCTTCCTCTCCTCCACCAATGGCAATGGCAATGGAGGCAACCTGAGTGCTTCTAATAATAGCAACAACTCAGATAGTTCATCGCAGTCGCAGGGGGAGACGAAGGCTCCTCTAACACCAGGAGGGACTTCAAAGTCAAAATCAAAGAAAAAGAAAAAGGTACACTAACAGAAATATGTGTTTTCATGTTTATGAAACATACATTTATAGTTAAGTGATGCAATTATTTCAAAAGGAAATGAATGCTTTCTTTCTCTGTTGTATATTTAGTATCATGTCTATGTGTCATATAGATTGCAAAGACAACTTAAGAAGTGTGTAGTCTCTGATATTATGGTGATTGATTCGTCTGGCCATGGACATCGCAAACATCATGTCATTGAAAATATTAGCATACAGGTCATCATTAAAGAAATAGACCATAGAACATGTATATCGTACTCTTATGGAGCCCTATCTCATCAAATCATGCTTGAAACTTTATAAATGTAGTTCTGTATTTATCTCACAGGATTGTAGTTCATCTCTAGCTGCCTTGAGTCAGTACCGTGCCATCAAACCTCATCATATCATGGAAGCTATGTATTGTTCTATTGTATTATTGTATCTCACAGGATCGTAGTTCATCTCTAGCTGCCTTGAGTCAGTACCGTGCCATGGAACCTCATCATATCATGGAAGCTATATATTGTTCTATTGTATTATTGTATCTCACAGGATCGTAGTTCATCTCTAGCTGCCTTGAGTCAGTACCGTGCCATTGAACCTCATCATATCATGGAAGCTATATATTGTTCTATTGTATTATTGTATCTCACAGGATCGTAGTTCATCTCTAGCAGCCTTGAGTCAGTACCGTGCCATCGAACCTCATCATATCATGGAAGCTATATATTGTTCTATTGTATTATTGTATCTCACAGGATCGTAGTTCATCTCTAGCTGCCTTGAGTCAGTACCGTGCCATTGAACCTCATCATATCATGGAAGCTATGAGGAGATACACCGATGTCATTCAACCAATGGCTTACTTCTCGGTATGAACACACCCTTGACAATAATATTTATCCTTGTAACTATTGTAGGCAAATGATTAGATTTGAAGCCAATGTCACAGTGTGCTTGAATGAACTACAATGACTCGGAATCCAGTCTTCTTATATTACATGTTGTTATGTCAGGCAAGCTTTCAGGTTTTCAAGAACAACCTTTGTTTAAAAATTATACATAAAATTTGAATACCGGTATGTTAGTAACCTGGTCTATTCACCATGGCTCTAAACCCTGGACCACAACATTGTTTGAGTATGTCATGTGCGCTGCTTGTGTGACAAAGGTTGAATGTGGCAATCCCCTTCTTGTTCCATCTGCTGACGAAAGCAAGGAATGAGTTAATGAGAGAGATAAACCTGTCAGTAGACCATTTAGAAAGGTTCTATTTGATATTGTGACATGGCTAGTACATGCATTTGAAATTGTCATTTATAAGCACAGTATAGTCTATATATTTAAAAGCATGTTATAATGCTAGAACTTAGGCTAAATTGGCGATGTTTCATTGATGCTTATCAAATCAGTCAAATATGATTGGTGATTTTACATTGAATACTAAAGCTCGGCTGGGATCTATGGGGAAATTTTTTATACCAAAATCAAATCTAACCCCATGGGTTAAGCATTAAATTGGTCAATCATTGTATAAATTTGAATGGCATTTTTATCAAAACCTGTCTTGTATTCTTTATAGATTTTCTTTATTTGAGTTGATGACACTAATGTTTTCTTCTTATCTTTCTTTTTTGATCTCCTTCAGAAACGTGTGACAGGGATGAAAACCAAGCTACTTGTCTTATAAAGACAGTATGAGACATCTCACATACATTCATTGCTGCCAGCATTCCAAACTTCATTCAGCATGTACTTATCTCTAATCAAAAACAACAAACCTGTTTCTACTGGAGATCAGGGAACTAACGACATTGTCATTGGACTAAAATTCAGCACTTATGCCTGCCGTCATGTGAGAAAGTTGTATCTACTGAAGTATGATGACCGTCCAATTTTGCACTCATGGAATTTCCCATGTAAAGTGGATGTTATACCCAGAAAGTTAACGGAAATCAATGGTATTTTGAAATACAATTGTAACACATTGAATGAAATTGTGGTGTACATAAGTTTTATTTACAACAAGGTTTTCATTCAAGTTGAATTGAAAATAATCTTGAAATCAGTATACCGATTGTTGAGTTGTGCTGAGTTGATTGAATAGTGAAAGGACATAAGATCATTTGTAGGCTTATGCTTTTCATCAAGTAAAGCACCTTTTTATTGGGGTTTAGAGAAACCCTTTTCAGAAACCTTGAATATAGCTCATTCCTCTCTACTTACCGGTATGCAATTATTATTATTTTTTTTTTATTTGTTAAGATATATCATTTTGAGCAAGTTCAATTTGAACACCAGTAAGATTAATTACATTTAAGGGTATTACAAAGTAAGTATTGTACTTTCAAGAGAAAAAGAACGTTTTCAAATTATTACTCGAAAAAGGCTCGGTAAATTTTCCAATTTAAGAAGAATGTCTTTCAGTTTGTTCACTCTTCAAACACAATTATAAAGTGAGAGAACAATCAAATGTGTGTTCAAAAGTACTCTCATTATTATTATTTTTTTAAAGGTAAGATGAACCGTTAAGTTGCTTAGAATTTGTATATCAGAATATCAGTATTTGTTTATCAGAATGTTTCATATGACTGAGTAAAATGTTACATCTGTAACAGTAATCTCTTTGCTACTTTGTACGAATGTGTTGGTCATAAGGTATATGGTTGCTTTATATGCATTGAAAAGAAGGGTTATGTAAATGCTGCAATATAACTCAATTTTCTAAACATCTTATGCCCTATCTTGCAAGGCTCTTGTAGTTCTAAGAATGCACAGTTGTTTATCGTGCCATAGGTAGATATAAAGCATGCATTGTTGTTATATATTACAAACTTGTCCATTGTTATACATTGTATTGTCAGTCAAAGTGAAGCATTTCAAAAGTATTTGTCTGTTATTTAAATGTATGGTACTGTAGCAACACAATTAAACATGCGATCAAAGATTGCAAAAACAGTAAGAACTACGATATTGTGTGTATTTTTATAGCGGTAGAACGTAGTATTGAAAATACGTTAAAGCCTTATACGTTATTTTAGTTTGTCACGTGTGTGTAATTCCTTGGCTGAAAGAACATTGTACTTACTGACATAATTCCTATGTGCTCATCATTTATTTAATGCCATACTGTACTAGAAGCACTACCGCCAAATCCTCTCTAGCACCATCTTAATAATATATATATATATATATATATGTAATATAGTATTTGGTTCTTGTGTAGCGCATATCACATTATACGTCTCTATGCGCTTCCAAAGAGCTTTGGAAATTATTACCCTAGCTTTAACTCTGGCAGCCGTAATCAGCGCACAGTGCATTTCAAGGAATAATCCTAACCAGGTACCCATAGATCTCACCTGGGTTGAGTGTGGCAAATGTAGATGAATATCTTGCCAAAGGACTGGACAGGACTGGAACCGCGGACCTTGTGATCTATCTTGGATGGCAAATTACGGCTCCTGTTTTCTTTTTCTCTTCTTTAGGGCATAGAAATATTATTGTATGTACTATGAAAGTAATCATTAAGGTGCAGACCCCATCAGAAATACACCCGCGGTACTTAAGAGCTCTTGGGAGATCATGAGATTCACATCAAGTATTTCTTTAAAATTGAATTTAGGTGGAAAAGGAATGGACCTTGAGAGAAAAAAGATTGAGCCCAATGTCATTTCTATATGAGAGAGGGATTTTAGAGGTAGTTTAGTTGTGTCCTTTCTTGTGCCAAAAATATCAATTAAAAATGCTGCCATTGGGTCTATTTACGTTCATAAGTTTTAAAATTGTGATGCAATTTGTCTTTGTGTAATTTCTGCCATTTTATACAGGAAAATAATTGATCATCCTGCCTGGAAGTGCTACATACAGGTTCTTGTATGATAAAAATGAAATGCTTTGTAAAGAACTAGATTTCTTTTCCATAACTTGTCAAGGTCGGCATTTGGATTTAAATGAATCGTTTTTGCAGGTTCATGTATATTCTGTTGATAACAGTAATTATTGTACTATTTATCATACATGTACAGGGTATGAATATGTGTGTCAAATTGAATGAGTCACTGATAACTTTATTGAGCATATTGTTCAGAAATTAAAGAAAAAAGAAGGTAAAAATCAGGTTGGTGCAGGATGTTAAATTTAAAGTTCAAAGGTTGTTTATGTTAAATGGCCTTTAACTCAATACTTGTCATTAAAAAAAATAGTTTGATGTTTTTTATCTTCTAGGTTTATTCATCTGCTCATTAAAAAACTCTTTTAGACCAGATGATCGAGAAAATATTGCTGTTTATCAACTTTAATCATAGGTGACTTGCAAAGAGATTTAGAGGTCAACTTTTCAGTTCGGAGTTTAAATCTTCAGTTATGACAGAAGTTCAGAAGCCAGTTTCTCAAAACTAACGACAAGATAGTCATAACTTTATCCGCCAACTACAGAGATGTCTCTGATCTTCCTATTAAAACCGTTTCACCAAAAGCTTACTAGCTAGACGTCTCGTGAAATTGATACTATCGGCAAGAATAGATGTCAGGATGTTGTCTTTGATCTTGGCAAAGAGGGCTGCGTGAAACACGTACAGGACAAGTAGCTAACTAACGCTGATTCTTGATTTGGTCAAGAAGTTAGACTTACGACGTTTCGAAAAACGGGCCCCAGTAGCACGTTTCCAATACTCAGTATCTTGTCAAGTATGCATTTCAAGTTACAGTTTTTAGGATTCTTTAAAGAGGTTAGAAATCAAAGTGGAAAAGAGTAGACACAGTTAAGATGTATGATGGAGATTTTGGTTATACTCTATGTCTAGGTTTGTAAATGAATGTTAAATACATAAACAACCTGGCACTGTCTGTAACACAAGACTTAATTTTTTTCTTCTTTCCTGTAATATATTATTTTTAGTAATTGTGGTTTTTGTATTTTGATGGATTTTCTTTGAACATGTACATTTGGTATCTATGGTCTGAATTCATTCCATTTATTTACAAGTACTGGTATGTATCAATATCATTTGTCTCATGTTAACATGTTATTTCGTATATTATTTCATAAACTGGTATATATTTTTTTTATATTGCTGATATGTATAAGCAACTGTTGTCAATGCTTGCCATTTTCATATTTTTGTTACTTGGTTTGAAGAAAAAAAAAGGAGAAATGTAACAGTACAAAACTACTCATGCTTTGAGAAAAGAATTCTGAAGCGCTTGGAACAAGCTTTAAAATAATTGTGTTATAGTATTAAAAAAAGATTTCAAATTGAAAGGCGGTCGAACTTAGGTACATATTCAAGTCTAATCTGAATATGATGGGGAAAAGCAAGAGAAGACATCTCCAAAGTACCATTTAGTAAGACTTTTTATTTTCAAATAAGTTGTGTACATTACAATAGACAAACATATGCAGGCAATCTTTTACAATAAAATATTTACAGTTTAAATGCAATACACTGTGGTGTGACTCTTATTCATGTTTAAGTTGTTCATTCAACCTTCAGTTTGTGTCTCCTTCATTTAGTGCCCCTTAATGTACCAGATGCATCTTTAGATACATTTTCAAGGGGTCATTTAATTGCTTGAAATTTCAACTTGTCACAGCATGAATAACAATCTGGTAATAAAATATATACATACATTTTCAATTAAATAAATATGAATATCAAAACCATTTCACAAGGCATACCACAGACTTTACATTACATATCCTCACTCTTATTAAGTATACATATATAAAAAGCTTTTGAAATCTTAGCATATTTTAGTACCAATATCAATTGGGAAGAGAAGAGCTGAATTGTGACAAGGCAGTGCTATTTTATACTTTACGGTGTTGAAACAAAAATGACTGTACTAAAATTTGCCATCAGTCTTATTTACAGATATATATCCTGCTGTAAGCGTTCAGAAACTTGGCAGATAGAACCAAATACATTTACATATAAAACAGCATTGGTGGAAGAGGATATGTAATTGTGCATTGCAAATTTTCATACTTAACGGTGGTGAACAATATTTTTGCACCAAACTGACTGAATCGAGGTTTAAGAGATTTTAATACAAGAAATATGTTTGTAAGAGCAGTGGAAGAGAAAAACATTACAATGAAGAGCAATCTTTATACTTATTGGTGAGCAACAAAAACTGATGAAAAATGAGTGAATACTGGAAAAATGTGTTGCCTTATTGGACGGATTGTAGCAATACATAGCATAGTTTTCATTGGAGGAACAACAGCTTCACTGTAGTACATCATGATATATTTTGAAATAAAACTGCACCCAAATGAAATCAATCGCAGTAAAAATAAAGAACTACCGTATCTACAGAAAACACAAGTCAAATATTGCATCACACTGGACACCACTAATCATATATAAATAACCTTTAAAATTGATAGTAATATTTTGAAAACAGTTGTCACAGCACTGGTTTCACTTGATCATATCCTATATACAGCATTGCAAATATTTTCTTTTAAAATTTGTTTACTCTTTACATCAACGTCCAGTTGTAGCATAATAATCATTGACGAGTGAAATTTATTTGCATCAAGTTCAGTGTGCATAGGTGCTTTCGTAAAATATCACAATATTATGCAAGGTAAGTAACTTAAATCAAAAGCATATCATCAAAATAAATTTATATCCTACCATACAATACACAAGTTTATGGAACATGTTCTATATGACTGTAATGGTTAGGCCATGAATTACAGACAAGAATCTGCTCACAAATATATTACAATTAGAAATATAAATTTCTATTTTTCTGTAACAATGATTCTACAAAGATTTCTCAATTGCTCTCATGTTATATAACTTTGAATGACTAACAATTCAAATCTATTATTTAATATATATATGTACACTGCATGCATGACATAAGTTAAATACTAATATTATTCTGAAAATTCATGAAATTTACAACTGAGCTCTTAAGACATTATTGTTTGCTTAATTCTTGTGTGACTTTATTCATATATTGTACACTCAACACATCCTATTGCAAGCAAGCCTGGAATGTTGAAATCTGCAAGACATATCCACTTAGAAATCAGCAAAATATAATTGTTTTAGTCTATCATAATACTTCTTACAAGACGAGTGGTGGATAGTGCATACTTTTGATTAAGCTTTCTACTACAAATCAATTTCAGCAATGCTAGCTAATCCAGAAATTCACTTTTATTCTTCACATACGTTTTTTCTTACAGTATGTTATGTTATGATCCATTATGGTTTATATAGTTACAGTCATGTTAAGATGAACTGTGAATTGATCACCTCTTAATGCCTCTGATAATGACTTCAGTTGTCCTTTTTCCAATGGCACTGCATTTGAATTTCCTTCGGTAGTAATTAATAGGAGCTTAATATATGATCATCCAAAAGTCCATTTCACTTGTGTTTTTTAGATGTAAAATAGAAGCATTTTTTGCCTTAAATCTTCATTCCTTGTATCCATGCATATCGTCAGTGCTATATCAATTTAACTTGCATGGCTGGTAATCGGTGCTCGACAGCATTGAACAAGCCAGAAGTTTTTGAACACCAACAACAGATTGATTCATAGTCTCTTTGCCAATGGTATCCACAGGGTTAAATCCCATTAGTCTTCATGAGAACCGGAGCACCTTTGATGGGCGATGAGACCGCCGTGGTGGTGAGGCTTAGGTTATCCAGGATGAAGTTCTTGGGTTTGTTTCGTCTGATTGGACTAGGGTGGGGTCCTTGGATGGGTTTCTGGGATTGTCCTGTGGGTGGGGTGTATTCTGGTGTCACACCCTTGATCTGGTAGGTCCATTGCATGTCGGCAGTCTGTGGGGATCAGGAGAATCAATGTTTAGCTTGTCAATTTTTCTTGTAGTCTGCTTATTAGAGTAACTGCATTCGAGTTACAGTGCACCTAACTAACAATTAATCATTCAATAGCACATGTATTTTTGTTCATAAAATATGGCAATGGCAGATATATTCTTTGCCTATTCCATCCTTCCAGATCTTTACTTCTGTTCTACAAATACAATGTTACTAACAAAGCAGAAAAGATATTTAAAGAGACACAGAGACAGAGCAAGATAAAAAACAAAGAGAGAGGAGGAATAAGAGAAAGACATTTATTTTGTTGGTTCAATTACTTTTTTGTGTGTAGTTTCTTGTTGATGTACATTATACACTTCATAGTATAATGAATAAAATAAGCCTGTTAAGTTAACAAAAACAACATTTTTATACATTTTTGGGTAAAAATACATTACACCATTATCATCACTTTTTAATGATAGAAATATAACTGAATACCCTGACAGCTAAGAACATGTGAGAGAAGACAGAGAGGATAACTGTATGAGCTCCTTACCTGTACAACGAGCTTGGCATGATAGGTCTTTCCATAGAGCTTAGGTGTGAACCCTACAGTGATGAGAGTACCAGGTGTACCTAGAGGCTTGAGCTCTCCTGTCTGTGGACTCACTGAGAACTCTACATCGCTCTCAGCTACAAAGTAGGACTGGAATCCCACTGGATGCCTACAGAACAAATCACAAAAAGCGTGTATAATACAGGAAAGCATAACGCATTTGAAGATCAATATATCTTTGCGAAAACTAAAAAGGAAATCCTACTGTATGCAAAATAAAAGTAAGCAGAGTAAAAATATTAGTGTGGTTAATAACAGATTGAAGAAGAACTCATACTGAGTTTCTTAGTACAGTGAAATCTTTCAGCATGAGCACAAGTTAGATAATCTCTTGTTGTCTGTACTATATGAGCTGTCTTGGTCAACTGCGGAACATGGTGAGGGTCTTGTTTCATCTTTTCATCTCAGTTATTGCAAAAAAGTAAGAAAGAATATCCTACCAAATACTGACCACTGCATCATGTACATGTCTATGTAGAAACGATCGTCCAGATACAATGTAGATGGTACTTTCTTACTCCCGTATTGCTTCTCATTTGACAGATTTTCAACACACAGTCTTAAAAGTCTTAATATTACCCTTTTAGACTTACCTAGCTTGACTAGTGAGTCTGAATCCAACCATGGCTTGTTTGTTAAGTCCCACTGATTCTATGGTGATGAGATCATCAGCGGTAGGCTCAGAGGAGATGAAGCCAAGAGGGAAGCGCCATACTCCTCCCGTAGTGGCCTTCACACACAGCTGGACATCATGCCTGGAAGAAAGATGTAAGACAATGCAAGTTTTTTGTTTAGAATACAAGTTAGCAGGAATAGTCGATTCATTTGAAAGCAGTACCTCGATGATTTGATTGTAGGAGAGCAAAAAGTAAACTTGCAATAAAAAACAGGACCCCAACCCCTCAAAAAGAAAGAAAAAGGAATAAAAATGATTACTTGTAGACACATTTATGTAAAGAGGGCCAAGGATGGACTCCTAATCTGCAAGTGATATTGATATTATATGTTCATACACTATGTTCTATGCTCAAAGTTTGTATTGTAACTTCAAAATTGTAGAAATGAAAAACCATAAATTTAACAAAGTATTCTAACAATTAGATAAATAATTTATTATTGGTGGAACAATACAAACAAACAAAAACATTATGCCCATACTTTACAACATCATGTTGACAATAGCATCAACAATGCATGGTCAGGTATTGACATCTCATAGTTATTTTGAGAAATGAAGAACAACTGCATGCTAATCATTAAAAATCTTAGCTAATAACGATAGCACTTCCTTTGAGTTATTGGGACAAAAAGGTTAAAAATGAAGACAGAACATACTTCATAGTCTTGAATGGTGCATAGATGATGTTGAATACGAGTGTCATGTTGCCTGAGAGCTTCTCCCTCTGTTTGCGTATGAGCTGAAGAGAGACGGCATTCTCTAGCTGTACCTTGGCCTCATCGTTGGGGAAGAGAAGCTCATAGCTGAACTCACTGGCAAGGGTGTTACCTGAGAGATTAAAAACAGATAATTTGTTTACATATATACTAATTAGTCACATCTGTGAATACAGAGACCTGACATTTCATTAAAGTGTGCTTACTTTAATCCAGATTTAAACCTGATTACCTAACTTTAATCTATTGATCTTACATAGGGCCTCAATCGCCAATCTGTGAAAAATACCAAATTTCTGTAACTAGATGAACAAACAAAACATGATGTCATTGTGAAACTTATGCCTTATAGTATATACAAATGAGCCACATCTGTGGAAATGGGTCTTAAGTTACAATAACTTGTATTGAATCAAAAGGTTAACACTTGGCGCTCTATAAATCAAATCAAATTCCCTATGAATATGAGCCTATGACTATTACTTTCTTTCCCTTCTTTTTTCTTGTTAAGACTGACAACAGAGCTGATAGCAGATCAATGAAAGAGAAACATATATCCACCTTAATAGCATAAAGAAGAAACGTCAACATGAAATCCAAAACAGAAAATAAAACTATTTTTTACCTTCTCCAGCCACCACCCCATCTTCCTCCACACTCTGGATCTGATCCTTAGGAGTGACCGCTCTAGTCTTGACCATCTGAGAGCCACTAGCTGAGCTTGGTACAGCACCGGTCAGTGAGACCTCTAACCTCTCCTCAATCCTACTCCTAGCCTGGCAGCTGACCACTGCACCACGGTCCACCTTGGGCTGGGACTCAGGGATGCCGTTGATAGGGTAGAGCCATCGGATGTCTCGAAGACCACCATTCTTCTCACGCCTGTCATGGTCCCTGCAGGAAGATATAAACAAGTACGTGTCAACTTATGAATGACTGTCTTGATTTAAAATGAATCATATGATGATCGAGTTTAAATATGCATGGGTAGAAAGATGCTGTTCAAAATTTTCATATGAAAATAAGAGTGTTTGAGATGTGCATGCACAAATTATAAAATGTCTAGAAAATATATTGCACAAACTCAAGTTTTCCCTTTAGTGGGTGGCTTTCCTATGTTTTCTGTCCATTCGGCAGAAGCATGTAAAGAAACATGTCCTTAATTTTCAATATGTCCTTGTTTTGATAAATATTTCTTGATTATTTTGCTGTCTATTTGGATTTGGACTGCTTTCACACTGAAGCCTCTCCACCTTCCTCAAAAGAAAATGGTATCCATACTGGAAGAAGAAACGATGCATTCTTAAAGAATTCATGCTGCTTTCAAAGCAGGACTGAAGTGGGTTAGTGCCTACCTTCTCGCTGATGGATGATCTGGGTCACTTGATGGCAGGTAATCCCAGTGCTCTCCATTCTCTCTCTTGATAGAGACGATAAAGAGCGCCTCATGGAGGTTCATACGATCAGGAGCGAAGGTGATGGGGATGTCCAGAGTGGCCTTTGGACCTACAGGGATACTGGCAGTTCTCTTCAGGAGCAGGCAGAAGGCTGATTCAGGCTTGATACGGTTCCGATCCAGACGGCCCTTAGCACTCTCTGCAAGCTCTGTGTTGTCTGTATGAAGATAGTTAAAATTAAGGAGTTACAGTGAGTTCTTGCAATCAAAAATTGTAAAAGATTTGTTTAATGACCATTGAGCACCCAGGAGCCAATATCTAAGAGATTGGTTTAACCTTTAACATAAGGAAGAAACCCTGGTAAGTGATATTTTGGGTACTCTAGTATTTAAAACAGTTCATGAGACAAGTTTTAGATAATTATTCTCTCCTTTTCATTGTACCTCTTGATAGATAACTTTCCAATAACAGGTAATGAATTTTGTTCGTTTTGAAGATGAAAGAAAACTATTCTTTAGAAAACAATGTTAGATTCATTATAAAGTTAGCAACATTAAAGTTGGTTAAATCAACTATACCACTGTTGAGAATAGCATATTACAAGAATATATGGTTTAGAAATGAGTGTCCTTCAGAGCTACAGGTACTCACCAGAGAGGACAACATCAACCAGGATGTTTTCTGAGGTGGGATTCCTGAAGGGGATGATGAGAGAGGTATTGGAACCCAGGGTAGCACTCACGCTGACTGGATCCAGGGGTGTGGGGGTCAGACCGGTACCAGACGCTATGAACACCCAGTCACCAAGCTGGGAAGGAAGGATAATAAACAAAAGGTATGTTATTAAATTCTGTTTTTTTAAGTCACAATGTTATATTCATGGAGCCATGTGATATACATGTATTTACAGATCCTAAAGCCATAATGATTTCTTATGGTTAGGGCTCTGGCTATCAGTAGTCATCAAGGGCATTGCTTGGAAGAACAACAACATCTTACTTATAATCAGACACACATAATTGCTGATAAGATAGAGAGGATTTTAAAGCATTTACAGTACAGAATTCATCTCTGTGTTGTTGCTGGTTTGACTCCAAAGTATGTACATGTTATTCAATCTTAATAAGTCTATCCTTTTTAAAAGTTACTTTATCACAATCGTAATCATACAGCATTTACAAGAAAATAATCTAAAAGACCCACCCCATCACACGTTACAACAAATTGTGAGGGTTTCAAATCGAAAGGATTCATTCATTGCTAATTCATTTGATGTTCTAGTGTGTGAACTCATACTAGTCCACAGATACAGAAGTGTGTTTAGAGTCATTACCTGTTCACACATGAAGGTTATCTTTGCAGTGTGAGTAGACTGGCCCAGGGCTGAAGGCATGAATTGAAGAGGCACTTCTTCGGTTGAGTGAGGAGCCAAGACAATCTGAATAGAAGAACAAGAAGAGAAAAGACATTTACAAGAGTTGTTATTTTTTTTAAAAGACAGCCATGTCAATGTGTATAAATCAGTGAGTAATAGTATAGTGATAATGTGGTAGCTAATTGAACCACCTCTCTACTAATCCCATGAGAAATTAATCCTCACACCTATACATATGCAACCAGGGTTTTCAAGATATTATTTACCTTTTGTCAAAGTCGAGTTAACTAGACTCTTGTCATAGGCACCAAGGCAGTGGTTAATATTATGAACTAACCTTTCTCTCTTGATCCAGCTCCAGTGTGAAGTTCTCCTGATTGGTGCAGCTAGGACACAGCTCCAGGGTCTCCTCGGTGGGGTTACTCAGCGGGATGAACTGACGACTCCATTTACCTAGCTCACACTCCATGTGAGGCAGGGTGGTGGGTGCGGGGGTCTCCGCTGTCAGGTTCAGTGAGTACCAGAACTCACCAATGGTCTCGTTCTGGAAGATCAGACTGTAGGAAGCAAAGGTTGGTGAAGAGATTAGTATCCTTGTTCCCTTACACTATAAGTCACCTAGGTGCTGTGAATCAGCACTCCCACAATCAATTTTAGGTCTAATTTTCAAAGATTTTACCTTAGCTTCTTAATCAATGACATCTCAATGGAATTGCATAGGTGGGTGATCGTCTAATATTCAAATTTGTGAGTGAGTATTTACTTGATCTTGATATTTTTGTAACCATTTTAGATAAATATAGATGAATATATATAAGCAGTGATGACATTTCTACATCCTAAAATCTAAATCTAAATCTAAACTGTTTTAATGCTGAAACTTCTAGCAGCAATTCTGCTTAGTTTTGAGACATCGGACCAAATTCAGTAGTCTGCTTCTCTGTGATCTCACATTTGCTCCAGCAACATTTGATCCAGCTAATATTTTCTCCAAAGATATGGTTTAGGACTTTGATGGCTATCAAACTTTAACCCGTTGACTACTGAATTGTATAGGTCCCATAGGCTTACTACAGGGACCGACAGGTTCCAGTAAGCAAAGGGTTAAGAACAAATTTAACGTAAGGGTGAGGGTTAGGCATCGGTGAAGTTTGACAAGTTGGTGTGTATAAAAAATAGGACATGGAGCAATTGTTGCAAGAGTAGACAGGTGTTAAATGGGTACCCGGTAGGATGCGACTGTCATTGGTGGTCAAACAGTTTTTGAGCATCAAGTAACACCTGGCTGGAACGCTCCCCAGGGAGTGGAGATTGTGCACACAGTGTGTGTGGCTAAGTATTGAATCCAATGACCGGGGTAATGTAAAGCGCTTAGAGACATTTGTATTAAGCGCTATATAAAGCGGAATATTTTTTATTTTTATTATTTATGTAATATGCAACCATGCTTCTCACCTTCCTGTTGATTGTCCGATGATGGCAGGAGCAAAGACCAGCTGATAGTACTTCTTCTGAGCAGGCTTCAAGGTCACCTTGGGGTCACCACGAAGCCCCTCCCCCTCTATGGATACATCAAAGGTAAGCTCCTCCTTGGTTGGGTTGAAGATCTCCACCTCCATCAGTGATGCAGACTGAGCAGCACAGGTGATACCAATGACACGCTCTGGTGGTGGGGGCGTGGCTGCATCAAGAAAGTAGGATTGGTAAGATATTCACAAATTCAATTCAATTCAATTCAAGGTATTTTATTCACTCATTGTAGCCAAAGGCTAAATTTCAAATGAATTTACAAAATTGAAAACATTAAAAACATCATACAAATTAAAAGGAATCATACACAATATCCTAGAAATATATATAAATACAAATGAAAGGAACTATACATGTATAATGACAAATCCATTTATCATGATGTAAATGAATTGTATGATTTATTAAATTTATTGTCAAATTTTCACTCCAGTAATAACAAAACTCATATTATGAGCTATTTAATAGTGACAGTTAATGCCGAGTACAACCTTTTAGACGCCTACATAAATGTGTAGTGTTTTGCTATCTATTGTCTTGATTATTTTCTTAGCACACCATAAAGATTCAATGAACCAACATGGCAGAAATAAAAGTAGCAAAATTGCAAACAATGATTGTAGTGTATTATTTCTTTAATTAATTAATTTACCAGTATTAAACAAAAATTAGGGGGGGGGGGGCAAATATGCTAACAAACCTTCACATATTTCTTTCCCCATGGTATTAAAGCAAACTTCAATAGCTTGCTATTTTAATATATGTGTTATATATATTCAATGTCATTTTGAGAGTTAATAATTAAGCCGATATTGTAATATATACTGACCTTTGACAGCCAATGAGAACCACACACGGTAGCCCGACGTCTCATCACGGACCTTGCTCACTCCAGTGTTCTGAGAGGATGAGGCCAGACTGCTGATAGACGACTTGCCACTCAGAGGGCGCTGCTCACGTTGGGGCTGGTCAGAGCTGAAGTCACCATCACCAGGTTCATCGCTGTATCAAGGTCACAAGATTTACGGTAATATGTTGAATGGGGTTGTTTGTGAATCGAATCATATCTTATGAAAATCCACTGAAATGGAGCTTCATTTTGGAATCTGAAATTTGCTCTAGGCTTTATCTTGTCAAAGGTTTAGGGCTAGGGTGAGGGTTGTATAGTCTACATTGAAGAAGAAATTCATTAAGAGTAGAATTTGATCATAAAGCAATGATGTATTTTGTAGTTATAATCTTATTGTGCTAACAAATGTGCTATCATACATTTTGTTCAATACAAAATCATACAGAACATACTTGCATATAGTCAAAGCCTCAATGACAAATTTGCACTGACAGACAAGCAAACTATAATATACAACTAGAGAAAATGAGGTTGGGGATTTGCAAGAAAATATATTCATACATTCACTGCTCATCTAAATTACATGAAAACCCTTAAGACAAGCATGAATCATATGTGTACTGTAGGCAAGCTTACTCACATTTACCATGCCATTTCATGAAGACCTACTTTTCAATGATGCAACATTCTCATTTCTTACCTCAAATTCTGAGTGCTCCCAGCAATGAAAGAAAGGACGCCTTCAAATTTGCCTCGTTTCCATGGTGATACGGTGATGGCATACTCGTCCTCTTTCAATGGTAGTACAGTGATGGTGGGAGCACCAGTGACGATAGGAAGATCTGAAACTACTCGGTACATCATCTTCTTCCCAGTCACGTTGGGGACACGGATCAGACGCTTCACTCTGAAAGAAGAAACATGGTGAGAATATCGTTAGTTTCTGTGCATGTTTGCTGTAACAGCACAAAACAGTCATTTTGCATTTAATTTAATTTAATTTCATTAATATGTCTTTAATATCATGGTAAAAATCACTAAAATCTAACTTCTACAAGACATTTAATGCTAATTTTGTTTTATCAAGCCTGTCTTATTTACAGAGGGATTGGCTTTATTAATCAAATTTGTTTATTATGAATTACATGTACATTACAAGTAGATGGGCTGTTTGGATCATATAGAGCAGACAGAGGAAAACTGTGTTGTAAACCGCGTTTAATGGAATGCACAACCCTCATTTTCATGTATAGGAATGTTTATGAATGTGGATCATGACAATGAGAATGATTTCCTTACCACTGTACATTATAGTAAAGTTTCTAACAGTGAAAATTACAGTTTTTCTTATAGGCTACTGAAATCCTTGCTTCTGATTGGTTATCAGCATATTTGTCACTGATTTTTGTCATTTGTCATTGAAAAAAGGCTTAGTCAGTGAAACGGGTCCCAGAAGTCATGGTATTTATTAACAAGTGGTCTATATAGACTGGTCTTCATTCAACCAGGTTTGATAGTACTTACTTCTGTCTGGCTTGGCACTCAACCTCAACATGATCCAGAGCTAGAGGTTTCTGGCCTTCTCCTTGTAGATTGAAGTGATGTTCTGTACCATCATCAGTATTCAGCATCATCATCTTACCCTGGTAAGTGAAGGAGAGAAAGAAAATCAAGTTATGACATGAAGCTCTTTTCTATCTCCCTAAAACTTCATCTACTCAAATAAATGAATTTCTACCACAGACCATCTTTGATATTTAATGCTACAGTAAATTATTTCAAGACTACATGGGTGGTATTCCGGTTGTGCCTGTTGCCAATTTTTTACCCTGTACAAATTATTTTAATCCTTCAATGAAATATGTCCAAAAAATTAATTTTGCAATGAAATGGGAAGAAAAAGATAATATGAGTATGAACTGAATTTCAACAAAGTCTTTGGTAGATTTTCTTTGTCATGAATATTGAAGGAGGAAGATGAAACCTAGCATTCCATAGAAGTGTGAACTAAAATTCTCATTTAGTCTAGACTTAGTCCCGGCTTAACTTATCAGAATACCACCCCATGTGTTTAAGTTTAATGTTTTGCTGTTACTTGCCTTCTGTTTTTGTACCAATCTCTTCTAATATGTATGTATACATGTTTAAATATTGTTCTAATACATCAGTAAATATATTGGATGTGATAAAATTTGATTCTAACAAAACTTATGTATATCTGCTGTTTGGAGCCAGGAGATTGTTAACTTGCATTTTTTCATCCAGAGTTAATGCCGTTATGACTATGAACAGCTGATACATGTATTTAATACAATATATAAAGTAGCACAAAGTATGTGAAATGATGAACAAATGTACAAAACTGGAAATGTGCATATGAAATATATAAAAGCATTCCATGCAACATTTCTCTCTGATGAAAAAATGTGTGGGTACTGTACTTATAGATCTACTGGAAAAGACAACCATGCAATTGTTGAAGTTTCCATGCATGCATCGACAAATATTACTCATAAAATGTCAAATAACTTCCTATTCATGCATGCACTATCAAATACAACATGTGACAAAACTATACAATGCATGCTGTGAATATCGGATATGTGACCGACAAATAGTAATAACAGGTGAAGATATCGTGCAGAATCAATATACTTTATTAGCTGTACTCGTGTGAATACTAGTAGTAAGATCTACATATTGTCATGGAGGCTTGGTTTGTATATACAGTGCATCCCCAAAAAAACTATACACTTTTGAAATGGCTGCCGAATAAAAAATTATATGATTCTGGGGGCAAAGTTTTATATGTATGGAAAGCTCATAAGCTCAACTTTCATATGACACCAAAAAGTCAGAAAATAATTCATGCTTGGGTGAGCACTGCTTACTTTTGTAAAGGGTATGAAAATTAGGTTGCGCAGGAATTAGCCTTCCAATTTGTGAGAGGTAAATCCTTTGGAGCTTACGGAATTGAGGATGATATGACCAATTCATGATCAATTGTGATGAGTTTGGGTTTGCTGAGTGAAATTTGTGGTTTATGGGAATAACATTTAATGCATGAGTAAACAGGAATTGCATTTTTTATTGTAGCCTTGTAACTTTCCCTGGTAGACTCAGTGGTGTGTTCATGGGAGTCAGGATGGGGTGATGGTACATGTTGTAATTTCCATGTAACAAACTGATATGTTTTACATCTGTGACTTTGAATAAAAACCTTCACCCCACATTTCAATTTTTGTAAGATTAGTTGAACATCTCATTGATTTACTTAATACCCAGGTAGGGATTATGTAAATTGAATATTCAAATATGGTTTGTTGAAAAAAGGAACGTCCAAGATGTCGGCTACTTATTCTTCAGGTAAATGGTAACTGAAATGTGGGGTGAAGGTTTTTATTCAAAGTCACAGATGTAAAAAATAACAGTTTGTAACATGAATACTCCCATGAACACACCACTGAGTCTGAGAAGGAAAGTTAAAATGCTACAATACAACATAAAAGTTTGGTTTAATAAACCATGAAATTCACTCAGCAAATCATGAATACTACATATCACCCTCAATTTTGTAAGCTCCAAAGAATATACCTCTCACAAATTGGAAGGCTAATTCCTGCGCAACCTAATTTTCATACCCTTTACAAAAGTGAGCAGTGCTCACCCAAGCATGAATTGTTTTTGGACTTTTTGGTGTCATATGAAAGTTGAGTTTATGAGCTTTCCATACATATAAAACTTTTCCCCCAGAATTATATATTTTTTTTTATTCGGCAGCTATTTCAAAAGTGTATAGTTTTTTTTGGGACGCACTGTATAATAACCCTTCTTTTACTTGCTATTCTCTTCTCTTCTCTTACTCTGTCTATATCTTTTCCTAAATTTATTCTAACTTTGGAATAGTTTAACTAAACAGATGGCACAATCCAAGTGCAAATATCATTATAATACTACTACTATTATCTACCTATCAAAAAATTGAAATTGATGTGCAATATGTGCCTGCTAGCATGCCAAGGTACAATAATGTATTGTTCTTACTCTGAATGTGACTGAACTCAGCCATTTTATTCTTCCACCTCTTTTCTAAAGGAGCATATAATTAGCATAGTACATGTTTAAATAACACTGGCTTGTAAAAAAAAAAAACATTAAAAAAAAACACGATCTTGCCTTGAAAACTTAACTAAACCAAATAGAAATATTAAAAGTGTATCATAATATATAGGCAATTGTTAAATAATTCTTGCACATATTGATATATTATATATACTAATGTTTCATCATTATCTTCATCAGAACCACTATTAAAGCAAAGCATATTTCCCTTTTGTTTTTGTTTCAAAACATGTGAAGGCATTATAATGCTGAGTTTAACTGTCTTAGATTTGAATGATACCTCAGACAATCATAACCTGAACAAGCAATGGTACTTTTCATTTCTAGATAGATAAAGTGCATGTTCAATAAAACTTTAGGTTTCTATTCAACTTTATATGTTATGAGCCTCACCGGCACAAACTGTCAGCTCTGAACCAGAAGGGTGTTAGCTAATGTTATGTATGCCCTTCTGGCTCTCAACATCCAAATCTCTCTCTAGTTCAACATCCAAATCTCTCTCTAGTTCAACATCCATTCTAACTCTTACCGTTATGAAGGACTCAAAGGTGGGTCTAAACATGAGTGGGTAGTAGGTGATCTGCATTGCTTTGGCCAGGAGGAATGGAGGTCCATGAAACCCTACACCATCAATACTGATCTTCAGAGGCCAGTCAACGCTGGTTTGATTCACCTGGTATGGAGAAAATAATGTCATGTGTCAATGAATCACAATTCATGATGTAAATTTCTGAATTAAGCATTTTAAGGTTTATATTTTTCTTAGACTACATATGCTCAAGACAGTTCAATATGTACATTGTCTAATGGTTTTGTCGTTGTTGTCCCATAGGTCATGGCTGACTCATTGTGACCAATGTAATGAGACCTTTCCATCAGCATCTGTCCCCCGCAATCCGGTAGAGTGTATTGAGAGGGTGGCCAGTGATATCCCTAAGACCGTCTCTCCATCTTAGCTTGGGTGTTCCTTTTCTACTTGTTCCTTCAAAGGTACCTTGAATGTTCATTTTGTCAAGGTTGTCTCCTGATCTACTGCTAACATGACCAAAATATTGTAGCTTGGACTTATCAATCATGGTTTTGCATGATTGTCTAAATAATGATAGTTAAGAAATTCTGTACATCATTTATATTTCCTTTCAATGCCTATTGGCCATAATTTGTGCCCTTTTGCCAGGTACACAACAAAATCAGAAGAATTCTTCCACTCTCTCCTTGTAGAAACAACAACATGCAAATTTGAGACAAAAGAAAAGCACTGTATACCATTGTACAAATATATATATTAATAACAAATATTCAACAAGTGAAAGCTCTTTTTGATAATAATAATAATATTCCGCTTTTATATAACGCCCAATGCATCAATACAACGATGTGCCTAAGCACTTTACAGATATATTATCATCCCGGTCATCCGATTCAGGCTTACCCGCACACAATGTATGCACATTTTCCACTCCCTGGGGAGCATTCCAGCCATGAAGTAAATACAAATATAGAATGATATGCTAGAATTTCATAATATACTAAAAACTAAAAAGTACAAATATTGAGGTTGTAGATACTGTCTTTATATTTACTAATCAACTTACAACAGGAATGTTCTGTGGTACGGACTGATGAACAGGTGCAGTGAATTCAATCTGAGCCACTGTTCCTTCGGGATTGACTGAACATTCAATCTGATACACCCTGATGTCATTAGGAGATCTTAACACCACACGACAGGGGTAATGACCAGCCCCCTTGGGTGCAAAGCGGATCGGTAAGGGTATAACACCATCATCTATGATCACACCTGAAAGACAAGAAACAATGTAAAATAAGTAAGTACAAATTGATTTCAATTCCAAAAAACAAGGGTTAACAAGGGCATGCAATTTTAGTGCAAAAGGCAAGTGTCTAGGAAAATTTTGGATTATAAGTGGCCCTTGACAGTCATCTTTTTATGAAAATTTGAGTAACATCCTGCTTTACATTGCGATGAAAATGGAACAACAAATCAAAGTGCAATTTTTTCAAGTACACGCATCTGTAAGTACTTATTAATTCATATCAATTTGCAATCATATGGAGGAGAATGCTAGGGATTGTTTTCTAACCTGAAGTCCCTACAAGCCCAGCAGGTGACCTTTCAACCCTGTGACCATTCTTGACGATATCCCCAGCCGACTTGGGCTTCTTGGAGAGTGGAGAGGGCACAAAGAAATGCTGCTGTGCTTCAAAGAACTTGGAGTTGACTTCCACCGAAAAGCGAGTGCCTTCGGGAGACTTCTTCTGTTCCTGCTTCACGTTGAAGGAGACGGTGGAAGGGTTGTTGTTGATCACATGATCGTCAGAGAGTCCCAAGGCAGCGATGGCCGCGGTGACTGAGCCACACGCCAAGGTGCCGGTCATCTGACGCCGGCGGATCTCGGTGTCCGTCATGCGCTGCTGGGCGGCGATGACCAGTGCCCTCTCTCTGGCCGAGTTGGTGATGGGCACCATGACCTCTTCGTTGAGGACAGAGTTACTGTCGCAACGCCAGTAGATGATGCGATCGTCTCCACCATATAGACCTCTGCCATTACCTGTAAGATCCAATAGAGATGAAAGAATTATTCTTTACAGGATGTTCAAAGAAATTGAAGTCCGCTTCAAGAGATCCAAAAACGGACAGATGAGAACATTTTCGCATCTATTTGTATTAGTGGCTATATATATATAGTTGTTGATTAGAAGGAATATGTCACAAAATGGATTTCTCCATAAGTCATCTAAGATCACCCCTGTAAGATTCCTCTACCAATGCAGTATTTTACAGGCAGATATAGAAAGAACTTGAGATGAGTTTACATTTCACACAAGGTTTGCATTGGGCTATTGAGTTGTATGAGCTCTAACAGAGGAGATGGTTAAATAATTATGGTTAACTTTAAACTACTGTCATCAGCACAGTATACATGAGAACATCTGTCCATTTTCACACTTCGTTAACTAAATTCAAATGAAAACCTGAATGGTATATACAGAGTAAAAAAAAACAATGCAGGAACTCACTAACAAACAAGATTCAAGATTCAAGATTTTATTGTCCATATATAATACAGAACTAATACAGCTCTTCAGGCCAGTTTAGTGATTTTGTATTCAAATTAAATTTCCTTGTATGGAAACCTTAGTTCATAGTGTAATCCTTAGACCTACCTGCTGCTGCTGCACTGCTGATCCTGACACTGTGTTTGGTAGGTACATAAGGAAGGTGTGAGGGCAGAGGAAGGGTAGCAGTGGCTTCCACCGAGTAGAGGAACTCTCCCACTGCCTCACTGATGAAGAGAACAGAGCACTGACGCTTCCCGGTATAGAAGGGTAAGAAGTCAATGCTAACGATCCCTGGTCCATTGCCGTCTAGCTTGATGGTTTGATCAGGGCAGTAGAAGGATCCAACGGTGTCGCTAGTCTCTTCTGTCAAAGATTTGGGAGATAAAATTATTTGTTTTTTCTCACAACTTATGTTCAGTAAATTCAGCTAAAATAAAAAATATTAATCCTTACTTTATATTGTTAGTTATTACTGTTGAAGTATGTAGCAACGTCACACATTATGTAAATGAGCCTATACAGAACATCATGTTATTTATTATGCACTTCACAATTTTTGTATTAGAATCATTATTGTTTGCTCTGAAAGTGGATTTTAATGGAACAAATGCCTATTATACATCACTTAATCTAGACCTTTAACAACTCTAAAAGATGCAGTTTTGCAGACCTTACAAATAATGAACTAATTAAAATAATGAAGAAAAAATCCAGAAACAAACTGCTTGGTTACTCCCAATCTAAGTTGGCTCTAATATTTTACGTCACTGCGCAACTTACGTTCAAACATGTTGCGGTCAATGCTGTGCTCTTCCACCTTGGGTGGAGTTGGTGTTTTCTCCTTCTTCTGGCCATGGTCAGTCTTGGACCGGACCCTCTTGACAGTGCCTTTGGTGTTCTTCAAGAGGCCTTTCTGCTTGGAGTCACTGCCAGGGAACGGAGTCTTAGCCTCCACCAGGACAATGCGGAACTCACCGGCCTCATCGAATGGGTTCACGATGGCAACGTCAACCTTCTGAAGCTCAAAGCAGGGCGACTCACACTTGATGGTGGCCTTCACGAGAAAACAGATTTTTAAATGAAATAAATATGGACAGTCATAAAAGGGTGTTTGTCTAAACGCGTCATCAGCACAAGACATATGCATTGTGTAAAATGAATAATGAATGTACTTCAATCAAAGCAATCTACTGAGAACAAAAAGGGCATTTAACTCACCTACCTCAACATTGACATAATACCCTTCTGATTCTCTGCAAATAACACACTTTTTTCTCTAGAGGACATAGGAATGTGAATATTTATATTCCACAACGAATGTTAAACAAAACATTTGATATTCGAGGAGTACAATGTGTAACAAAGATAATACAGGCTCTTTGTATAGCAGGTTGACTAAGCTTTTAGCCCTTAGAGACTTTGGTGGTAAGCGCTTTATAAGCACTATTTTTATTATTATTAGTCAGCTTACCGTTGGCGTGATGTTATCAATAGCAGTCTTGAGATTGAAGACCAGGGTAGTCCCACATGCAGCTCCTACCCTCCTACCAACCAGGACCAGGACGGCTTCTGCAGGACGCAGGAAGCGACTGGTGAAGATCACAGGAAGGTCCTGCTTGCCCTTGGGCTGGATCATGACCTGACTGCCTCGAGGGATGGTGAAGTCTCGAGCATCACGGCCGGCCACCATGGCATGGTAGGTCAGAGGCTTGTTGCTGGGGTTTGTCAGGCGTACCTGAGGCAAGATGAAGGGGTACAAGCATTTCAAATTAACTGGTGGAGATTGAGCTCAAGGTGACATAATCAAGTAGCTTAAAAATACAATACAATACAATAAAGTCATTTCTATAGTGCTCTTACAAACTAACTGTTGTTTCACAGCGCTGTACATCAAAAGTATCAAAGAAGTTTTTGATCATATTCAAAGAGGAGAGATTTGAGACATTTTCGGAATTTAAAAACTTGACTGGACATGCATAAGTCATGGACGTAAGCCTCAGCATGATATACTCCTGTTGTTTTGGAAAGAAACAAAGCTGTTTTCTACTCTCCACAGAGGTACCAACATGTAATAGGAAATAATTCCTTGAATTCTGTAGGCAACAAAATTTGTTCTCTTTACTAAATGAGAAAACTACTGGAGTGCTAGTTGAGCATCTTGTAGTGTGGTCATGAGTGCTATACAAGAAGCCACAATTATTTCTATCATTAAATTGGAATTTTCGATATGAATCTCATCCTTAATTCCAACCTTAACATACAGATCAAGAATCTTATCAGCATATAGATGTACCCACCTGTCTAGTAACAGATGAATGCAGTGAGGTGGTGAACTCAACAGCAGTCTTAGGCATGTACTGAGGTAACCTCTGATAGAGATGCTGGCATAGTAACATCAGTGAGATAGGATTGGGATCCGTGATGTCTATGGCCTGGAGATAAGATAAGATTGATAGGTCACAGTTATTACAAATGATACTTTCGTTGAAAGCAAATAGATACCTAGCTCTTAAAGCAGAAAACTCTTTTGAAATGTTAAAAATGGCATTTACACAGTTATACACTAATAGGTTCAATTGATGCAAGCCTCGACATTTCAATAACATGTGTTTATATACAAGAGAAACTATTGGTTGGTAAAAGAGGCCAGGTAATGGTACATGTGTTCAATAATCGAGTCTAACCCCTTGAACAGCGAAACAAAGTATTTTGGTACAGATCAGTTTAGAAAACGTAACAAAACGAAAACATATTGTGATACCACTTTGAAATGAGGAAATTAACTTAGTAATTCTTAGAGAAAGCTGAACAAGATACAAAAATAGGGAAATACAAAGAGACACATAGAAATACATTTGATATGAATTCAGCATAACAAATTTGATTGTTTCTTTTAAACTCTGACATATTTAAGATCTTACCTGGATGTCATAATCGAGTCCAATGAACCTGAAAGCAGTGACGACCTTGAGAGCGTTATGAAGGCACTGCTCCGCTGTGGAAGGGTGTGTGTACATGCCCTGAAGATGGGTCTTAATCTGTGCCAGGGGAAATATGGCCAGAAATGACAGAATTAAATTTATCTTGCTCTACAAGAATATCAGTGATGTAATGCTGTCAAGTGAATGATATGAATAAAAGCTTTGTATTTTTACATATGAATGAAAATTTTCAAAAAGTTAATACCAATGTGCTATAAAAAATTAAAAACATATTAGTGAAATAATTTGTCAAGTTTAGTGTACATAAATATGTGTGGAATGCATCGGAAGCTTACTCGTCTTCAACCATCAATCCCTCTTTAAAACAGGAAAATTAAAAGAGAATTGCACGGATAATCTATTTTGTTGCTTAATCCATTCCATACAATAAGTTTTCTTCCATTTATATATCCCTATGACTGATTCCCCATTACATTAAAATATAAAGGCAGTATGGAAAGGGATAAATTTGAATGATTACATTAAACTGAACATATTATAATTGTACAATCACATTTAATCTACATTTGCCACACTCGACCTAGGTGGTCTAAATGGATACCTGGCAGGAATTAATCCCTTGACATGCTAGAGTGCCGTAATGGCAGCCATGTTAAAGCCAGGGTAATGATTGTGGAGCGCCAGGAGTGTCAACTCTGACAGATATGAGCGCTATATAAGAACCCCATATCATTATTATCATTTGATCATAAAGAACCCTACTTACCAGGAATGGGACATGTGCGGCGATGACCGCAGCTAAGACCAGACCATCCAAGAGATCATAATCAAAGTTAACTACCCATCGCGATGGAGGCACACCACCTGAAACAAAGAGATATCCATACATGCACCAATCAGAATGAAACACGAGAAAAGATCACAACCATGTAATCTTGATATTCATTATTTATGTCAGGGGACTACTTACAAGTTTTTAAAACTTCCTTTTAGTCTCCAATTTCTTCACGATTTCCAGAATTGTAAGATTATGTATATATATTATTTTATGCTTTTATGATTTAAATAAATGATGAATTGAATTGAATTGAATTGAAAAGCAGTATAACCTTGGTAAACAGAACACAAATCAAGTTCCAGTACCATTTGTTTGTTTATAGACAGGTAGCCTCTTTATATGTTCTCCATGATCTTGAATCTTAAGTCAAACATATGACGGTCTGTTCTCAGTGTCCTGAAATATGACCATTAAAACTATTTTGGCCAGTTGATCATTTCAAAGAAGCTAAAATGAGAATATATATAAACAACATGAACGATTATTTAGGACTTTGCATTTTTTCTTCAGGCTTCTGCATGTTACACAATTTAAAAACTCTGTCATATCCTTCAATAAAACAGAAACGCATTATGGTTCTTCACTGCACTTGTACTTAAGTTATAACATATCTATGGTTTATATTATTATACCTTTGTTAATTCTTCCGCTCTACTCTAACTCTTATCAATCAGTAAAATCTACCAAAACACTCTGTCACACATAACTTGAAACTGATTAAAATAGAGGCTATTTGCAATCCAAAGAAGCAACACTTTTCATATCAAAGCATAAATGTAAACGTGCATGTACATATCTTTGAGCAAGACAAACTTCACATTTCAAAAAACACATGCTAAATGATTTTTTCTTCTTCTCATAGTATTTTTAAACTTTTAAATATCAAACATCACACAGGTGAAGCAGGAGAGCGGACATTTGACTTTAATGAATTGTTTATGTATAAATACTGTATAAATACTGAGTCACATATGTACGGTCTGATATACCAGCTAGGCAAGCTTTTTTAGGTCAATTAAACCTTACTAATTTTTATGTTTGTTAATTTCAAGTCTTGACTATAAATTAGGTTGCCATGGCCCTATTTTACATGATGATTTTCTCCCTCCCATTTCTCTTTCCCTCTCTCTCTCTCTCTCTTTCTCTATTCTCCCATTTGCTTTTTTTTTTTTTTTCTCTCTCTCTCTCTATTCTCCCATCATGTTTCTCTCTCTGTCGCTCTCTCTATTCACCCATCTTTTTTTCCTTATCTCTCTCTCTGTTCTCTCATCTCTCCTCTCTTCTCTCTCTCTTCTCTCTCTCTCTCTCTCTCTCTCTCTCTCTCCATCTCTCTCTCTTTCTCTCTTTTTCCTTCTCTCCCTTTTATATTCTTTCCTATTCCTTCTCATCCCTTGTTAAATAACTATGTCAGTATCTATATAAAAACACAAGTTATTTCTTTTTACTACTTTATAAATATTATAGGATACCATCACCAGATTAATATCCAGATGTTTAATACTAAATGGAAAGAGGAAAATAAGAATGAGATACTGGTTGAATTACACTCAACTACAGGGAAGTTGCTATAACAAAAATATTTAAAAATCCTCATTATTTTCTTTCAGGGATGATGTATTATTTAGAGGGTAAATTGTTATAAAGCCATCAACCATTCCCAAAACCATTTATGATACCTTAACAAGATAAGGTGTATTCATAAGTGCCAGTGACTAAATCTTACTACTACCATATTAATATTTGTATATCATCTTTGTAGCTGAAAGTATACTTGATATAGGCAAGAATATGAACCATATGTCAGCAGTTAGCCAAGTTCTGGAAGGAAGTAGGGATGGGGTTAGGGTCCCAAGTTAATACAGGCAAGCTATATCCTGATAAGATTACGAATCAAAGGGAATATAAGTGTAGGCAAGGCTTAAAATAGGTTTGGGGTTCAAAGCTAGGATTGGGTACTTAGGTTACTTGGATAATGGAGGTACAGATTTTAACACTGAATCATGCAAATACCTGGAGGAGGATTGTATAACGTCAGAAAGGCTAAAAATGTGTCATAGAATCAACGAAAGAGGAAATAAGAACATGCATCGTTATCAGAAGTAAATGTCATGCGAAAAGGATTCTCTACTAGTCTTCATAAAGATTCATACTGATGAAAAGTCTAGTAAGATGAATATGAGTTTTATAATAATTTTTAGAAGGTTCTGGGTGACCTAAGAATATTACGCTAAGATCTTGAGAGATTTTTGTTGTTGTAATAAATCAAAAAAATGATGTTGAAAAGAGAGAAATAAGATGCTAGATAGGTAAACTACTAGCAACAGAATTGAATGCTCTATTAAGAAAAATGCTTCAAAAACAATCTAACGATAACAAAGATTCAATAGTAATGTAAATTCTGACACTGAATCGTGTTCATTGCTATTCAAACTATATCAAACAATGTCCAGAACATGTTTTTTTTCTTAGGAAAGTTAATGTTCAATGCAATAATTTTGTTCTTTAAAAATATGGTGTATTGTGAAAATGAAGCAGCTGTATTGAACTTGAATCTGCAATATGTTCCATTCAATCAAAGTTAAAATTTTTTAGAAACATGAACTATGTGTAGTTAAAAACAGAAACTAAAATTCTTACCTTTGTCACAGTTGCTCCATATGTTATGCCTCTGGTGTTCATAGTGATGGTTGAGCCAGGAGAGAAGGATACGCTCTCCTACAGAGTAGATGTTACTACACAGGGGATCATGGTTGATAGACGGAAGGCTTACATGGCCTGGGCTAGGCAGGGTGCGGAACTGACGAGGTGTGATCCTGGCTAAGACCAGAACCTGTGAGAAAGATTTGAATGCATTTGTATTTGTGTCCATGGGTGACATTTGAGATATGGAATTTGCCTCACGTATTCAAAATAAAATGTGTCATATGCAAAATCAGGCTTGAAAAAACACAATTCAAGTATTTACAAGCATAATTATCATTTGGGAGATAATCTCCAGTCAAATAATTTTCAAAACACTTTTAGATCTTAAGATCACAACTTATAACACTCTCTGACATCATAGTCAGTATTCAATGAAACATATGAAGGATAAGTCAGTTCTATCTAAAATCATTATAGCTAATTAAAAGAATTCTTATAAATTGTCCACTTCATCACAATATTGTTGCTGCATTGGTCAACATTCTGCAAAGTCAACCATGATACTCCCCAGTAAGCAGAAATAATGCCAATCCTTGCTTCAACAAACCTTGATAGTCTGCAGAAGTAGGTCAGTCCAAGCCCTCTTGGAGACAGACTCAAACAGGTGTTCATCCAGAGGTTCTTCTTCAATGGTGATAGCAACGGTTGATTTGCCTTCCTGCATGGCTTTCTTCTTTTCCCTGACCTGTTCCTGTAGCTTCATCCATCGCTGGTAATCCTGAGGCTCAAACAGATACTCTGGTTTGATGCCGGCTACACCAGCTCCTTGGCTCCTGTGTGTAGAAACAGAGGTTAAGAGATGATTAATGAGGGACTCAAATATCTCTTTGTTAGTCGTGTAAAACTTGTGCTTTATAAGTAAGGAATACAGAAGACAGCCAGGTTATCATAAGACCTTTTAAGTCATTAACCTATTCAGGTTTATTTAATTCTCCACAAAAATGCTGATTATAAAGTCAAAATCCTAATTGATTGCAAGTGAAGAGATAGACTTTTCTCTTCAGAGCATTTTAACTTTGCTGTAATCATATGAAGTTATTAAAGAAAAAAAATCATAGTGAATAGGGTGTATTTACACATGCTCTAGTGACAAATGCTCTGTGGACAATTTGTTATTTGAAATTAGTTTCCCAACTTAGATCTGGCAAATTGTGATCAGTGCATTGTAAGTTATACAAAAATCCCTACCAGGTACCCATTTACACCTTGGACAAGACAGACTACTATAAAAGAATTTCTATCTTGTTGAAGAAAAAATACACCAGGCACCAATTCTATGCTCTTGAGAGAGTCAAGTGAATGAACCACTATATCACAGTGTCAACCTACCTTAAGAATGTGAGTAGAGTAGAATGTTGCCAGTGGAGCTGTAGAACCCTCTCCGTAGGGTCTCCTGGTAGGGCCTGGTTGATGGGGATACCAGGGACCAACCTCCCACTCAGATGAGCCATCAGGTCATAGATGGTCTTGGTGTAGCTTCTCTTCTGGTTGTTGGAGGCTGGGGAGCTCTGGCTTGATTTGTCCCTAGCTGCTTCTGCTGCTGATCCCTTGGACACACCACTAAAGATACAGGAGAAGAATGTGAATAAATGTTATATATTTTTTTATTCTCTCTTCCCCTCACCTATATTCTTGTTCTTTCTTGCTCAGCTTCCTTCAGCCCTTCTCATCTTACTCTGCTATCTCCTCTTCCATAACTTAGGTCTTTACTTTTGTCAGAATGTATTCCAACTGTTTGTTAATCTAATTGATGTTTTTGTTTTGTGCACACTTATGTGTTCTTATGTTAATCATTGTTATCTCCTGCCAGAGGAGGCCAAATTTCTGTTATTTAACGTGGACAATAAAATTTGAATCTTAATCTTAATCTGAATATATGAATAATTACTTGTGATGAGTGAAGAAGTGAAGTGAAGAATCACTTGGCTTGAGAAAGTACACAAGAATGGACGAAAGCTTGTCTACTAAATGTTAAGGTTGGTAGAAGCTTAATACTACGATTACCCCAACCAATGAAAGTTTTCTGTATCAGATGTTATACTGTTTGATTTCATTCAATATGCTTTCCAAATGATTTGAATATGAGTACTGTTTGGCTCAAACAGTGGTCCTTGCATGTATTATATACTTTTTAAATTTTTGTTATTGTTCATCATGTCTGGACTTCTTGGTCTACCATCCCTGAACAACATAATAATAATATTCTATAATATATATATATATGGTATGTAGATAATACAAGGACGATATCTCTAAGCACTTTACAAACACATTATTAACCCTTTACCAACAATTATCCTAATCTCCTGGGCAAGTACACCATACCTCACACCCCATAACATTAGTCGCCCAAACAATAACTTTCAATTGATTAATAACCCACACAGAAACCAGTTTTTATTGAATAAGCATATACTACCATAAGTGACTTATTGTAGGACACAGCATATGATAACTCCCCAAACTCATCCAAAATAGACAAGAACAATTATGAGACACTTGATGACAACACTGCTATCCACATTTACGATATGTTTACTGGATCAACAGATGGGAAAGAGAATTCAAATTTTCCAATGTTGCATTTGATCAAACCAAACTTCTTGTCTGAAGTATTATGTAATCCAATGATCCATATGATTTAATAGGTAAGCTACATTCAATGGCTGATTTTGATGCAATATTTATAGATGTTCAATCCTGCCCTTCACAGCATGACTCACAGTAACAATACTTCCTGCAAACAACACAATTTAATACCTTTTTTTTTTTACAATAAACTCAAACTAGACAGTACAGAATACCACATGTTTCCATTTAAGCAATACAGACAGTGACAATCTTTGCCTTACCTTTTGAATGTCTTTTTGTCCTTAAAATCTGCTTTTCGAAAATTTCTTGAGAGCAAAATATTGCAAAAACAAACATAGTTTGTAAGGGATTTTTTTCTCATATACATGTAGTTTGTCTTGGTTTAAAAAGAATAACCTCTTGAGTAGTTCCAGCAATAGATAATCATTCCCCATTCCCTAACTATCAACTTTTATTGGAAGATAAATTGTCTGGGTCATAATTATTCTAAGGAAGTGGTTCTCTTAAGACAATTAAAATATTAGGAAGTTGCCTCAAGAGAACCTGACATCTATTTTTTTTTTTTTTAAAGAAAGAAAAAAAAGAAAAAAAGAAAAAAAAAGGAAACAAAAAGAAGAGATATCTCGATGCATGAAACATCTGTGAAATTTAAAATTGATTTAAAATATCACAGTTGATCATTAACAGTTCACAAATGTTAATGTCATAATTTAGGTTTGACAGTATCTAAACATTCCTAATGCCATACCTCCTAAGTCCTTCAGGGAGTGAGACTGGGAAGGGTCCGCCTGACCAGCCATGCAGCGTGATCCATCTCTGTACCCCCATGAGCACCTCAGAATGGAAGATCCCTTCCTCAGAGTCCTCGTTAGGGAAGGCTGCAGAGCCTAGAGAACGAGAGGCCAGTCCCATACGAGAGTCATCGTAGGCGGGAGCTGAGCTGCTGTAGTTGACACGGTTTACGGCGCCATCTCGAGGTGTGCTGCGATATGTGGATTCTGCAAGGGATAGATTACAAATGTTTTGTGGAAGTTTATTCCTGAGAAATGAAGAAGTATAATAAAGAAATGATTGATGTTCCAAAGAACTGTGTTTTTTTTTTGTTGGTATAGCAAGAAAGATGAGCTTGAGGACCACGTCCTCAATGAAGAAGGACTATACAAGATTCATGCAGCTACAGCTGTACTGAGGAGCAGCCAATGCAAAGAATGAAATACAAATTAAGAGAAATTTTAAAGAACAGCGTTGAAAAGTTGTTTATTGAACTTTTTCTTCTTGCACTCACCAAGATTTAACTGCAAGAACTCTGATAGATGCAAGATGACCAAGCTCTAGTATGTCTATTGACCCCCCCCCCCCCAAAAAAAAAATCAATCAAAGTTATATGACACATGCTCCTGTAGCAATTGATCAGCATCAATTTCCTTGACAATTTTTAACTTTAACTCTGGACCCAACACTAAACTTAATCCTAACCCTTTACCTTTGAGGAATTAAGCCCTGAGCAATTGTCACACCCATATCTTAAAGCCCCACTGCACTACTTATAGCTACTTGCGCCCTCTATATAGCAAACGATGCCTAATGGGTGACCATTGTTCCCCCATGATCCTCTTTTTCTTATGTTAATTGAGAGCTGATTTGATGAGATAACCACCTGTCAGTGACCATGCTGGGAGGCCAAATCCCTCCAGGCCAAACTAGTGCGGTGGGGCTTTAAAAAGCAATTGAACCTTTACCTGTCACACTCTCAGTCTCTTCATAGGTGGACGTGGTGGCTCCAAACCTGGAGCTGGTGCTGGTACTGGTATGGGTACCTGGTCTACTGGGCGACTCTACAGGCATGATCATTGCCTCACCCATGTAAGTCAGGGAGTCTCTGGAGGCTGTCTTGTGAGCTCGTAGACTGTGGCCCTGCTCGGTGACGATCTGGAAGTCTGTCCGGTGCTTGGCCACGAACGGGTAGGCCACCAAGAGACAGTTGTCGGCGGTGGCCGTCACAGGGATGGAGAATCTGGAAAAGAGATAGGATGGGAGAGTTTTGAGAATTGGATGAGACTTTATCTCTGTATCTCTTTACATGATTGAATGCTTATAAAGTTTTCTAGAGAGAAAAGAGACACGTATACACATAGAGAAAGTGCATGAGAAAGAAAGAGGAAGAGAGGACGTAAGAGAGAGGAAGGAGGAGGGGGCAGAGTTAATCCACTGGAAAATGTTCTACATAGACATTCCTGTAAATGCTAAAATATTTTATGGGAACATTAACACAACTGGTGAGGTACACATACTCTTTGAAATTACAATTAATTCACCATATGTTAGGCATAGTGTATATTTGTTTATTGTTGCAGTCAAAAGCAGTAAGACTTATTTGAAATGTTAAATATTAATATTCATATTTGATACTAACCTGCTACCAACCGAGTCCACAAACTTGATAGGCATGGTGAAGGAGACTGGCTTGGGTGAGCTGAAGGTCACCTTGCACTTGAGAACAAAGGGTTCCTTATGACCTTCATCAGCGCTACAAGGTTGAATGGTCTGACCGTCAGGGAAGGTCACACTCAAGACAGATACCTTGCTGCCGTCTGCTACCTCTACCTCAGGAAGTTCAACATCAATCACAGTCTCCCTGTAACAAGGATGATAATTAAACAGTTGTTTATGAGTTGAGGGTTAGAGAATGAAATCTTGAACATGGTTTGGGATTTTTTATTTGGCATCATGGATTTCATCAGTGTATTGAGTTAAATGGTTGACGGTCTGGGAGGGTTACGCTCAAGACAGAAAACCTTTTGGCCGTAGAGTCTGTGAAGTAAGAAGATGACAGATTTCAAAGGACTTAGCAATGCATGAAAGATAATGATAAAAAGTGTCTTTGACAGTTCAAAAACCTTGCATTTCTTTTAGCTTAGAGTCCATACAGACATGTTAAGACTTAGAGAGATTAAGAGAGATTTCATGCAATGTGTCAGTTTTATGTTTTAATTTATTTTTTATTTATTTCATTCAAATAAAAAAAAAAAATCTTAAATTGACTAACTTTCATTTCCGGAATAACGATCACATTGCTATTTTTGTCAACAATTATGTGTAAAGTCAATATGCCAGCAATGTTGTTTTGGTCCCATATGGAATGAATGGAATTGCCTGTTACCTTCTAAAGCCTGCAGCCCTGATGGTGAAGTCGGCCGACACCTTGGTGGAGAGTGGCACAGGGGTTAGAACGATGGCCAAGGGGTCAAAGGTCAGCTGGGGTGACTTGAGGATGCCGTGTACGTTGAGGTACTGGTAAGGTCTGTCCTTGGCTCCATCTAAGATGATGGGGATCTTGGCTTGGAACTCACCAGGTTCCTCTGTTAAATTAGACAAGAGATGGTTCGTTAAACATCTGATACATACCTAAAGTTAAATTGTATTCTTGTTCAAACCAAGAAAATGCAGTTTATATGGCCCTATGACAAAACAAAATTTACTGGCATCAGCTAGCATTCTCTGCTTCCCCATCTCCTCCACTGTGCATACTACATGTACATATCAGCAATCACAATGTCTAGTGTACTACAAAAAGATATATGATATTTAGACAATACAATGAAGGAGGAGTAGGGAAAGAAGGAGGAGTAGGGAAAGAAGGAGGAGTAGGGAAAGAAGGAGGATACTTTGGATGGACAGTCTACAGAAATTGTTAGAAGAGAGAGGAGTGAAAGAACTGGGAGTGGTGCTAATAGAGAAGGCTAGGAGCCAAGGGTTGTGGAACAGCATGATTGTCAAAGTCAATCGATATGGAATTTAGAGAGAGAGAGAGAGAGATTGTTGACACAATTAAGAGCTTCCTCACCTGGACAGAACATGCATCCCATGGTGTAAACCTCTCCCGGGTCCAGGCTCTCCTTGACCTCCTGCCGACCCTTCTCAAAGGTCAGGAAGGGCACGCCGTTGGAGCGGACAAAGCGGAAGATGCCCTCTTCCATGGCCTTACCACATGACCTGAGGTCAAAGGACCATTCAAGTCTCTTGGCACTGTTGTTGACCAGCATGACGGATTGGCCTTGCTGGATGTTTTCTGCCAGACCTATGAGGAATATAAACAGGGATGAGGTGAATGATTAGGTGTTCCTAAACTACAGAGTACAGACACAGCAACACACACATGTTTTGTTTTATATTAGCTATTATGAGAAAGATACGCAGTACAGGAACATCACCTGCAGCATAGTAAAGAATTTACACTATATTGATCATCAATATCTTATATGTAATAAGTGCTGGTAATTTATTTTGTGTTGGGGCGAGGGGTAAATTCACATAATTATCAATGTATTATTCCACTATGAATCATACATAAGGAAATCTAAAAAAAATTTGTGTACTTTCACAATGCATTTTGAATACCTGTTTGTAGGGTAGGGGAAGCTTATATTTAGACACATGTGTAGAAAATGTTGAGGTAGTTGTAAGATGAATCTTGGGTTCATACTAGATATTATAAAATGATGAGTACAAAACTCTACATCAAGTGTGGTAAGAAAGAATGAACAACATACCCATTTCCAGGTATCCTGAAGGCAGTGTGAAGGACAGCTCTGTGGTAGAGATCTGCAAGGGTTGCCTCATGGCGGTGGCTATGATCCTCCTCTTGGGCGTCGACACCGCCACCACCACCGGGCGTGGTGCTATGATGTGCTGGATGCTCTTTGAAGATGGGGCCGGGGTGGGAGGGAAGGGGGTGCCTTCTGGGGTGGGAGCCTCGGTCTGGTTGATGTTTACAGGCATCACAAAGTCGTAAGAGGCTACCTCGGTGGGCTTGAACTTGAGCTCACAGTCGATGGTCTGCTCACCGCCCACCGTGACCTTGTACACACCAGGGTTCATGGTGTCTTCAGACTCTGCAGGAGAAAGAAAATAATTCAATTAATTCAATTCAATTCAATTTATTATTTCATAAATATCACATACAATATATATATTGAGAAGTGTACTGGATCATTAGCACCCAATAAAGCCGATGGCTTGAGGGAATTGGGTGGACCCATAACATAAATGACAAATGTGGAAAATACAGAACATCAAAATTCACAACGTATTAAAATAATGATGATCTCAAGAATAAGTTCTTGTTTACACCAAATACAACCTTTCCACGAGAAGTAAGTAATCACAGCGTGTTACATTGTATTATTACCCTGGTATCACATCGCAATCTGGACAGTCAGCAATTTTGACGGTGTGGATTTATACTTATCTAATCAAATCTATGTTTGCATCCTCCCAGGTACCATTTCGACACCAGAATGGAAAGGATAAAAAAAGATGTATATTAAATACAATCAGTGAGATGATTAACCCTTATTTTTAAGCCTTAGTTTGACCAGAAGAGCATTTTCACTCAGTATTACTGTATGTGACTTCGATCTGACTCTCTCATTTGGTTCAGAGCAGAAATGTTTTGCTTACCTTCCATGACATCTGCATCAAATCTGAGAGAGAAATCTCTGAAGCGTGACAGGTCAAAGACTACCTTGGCTCTGGTTCGCACTCGATTGACAATCTTAAAGGGAACAGTCAAGCTAGATCCACAGTATACACCTCCAATCTGGAAAGATGGCTGTAGGGAAAAAATATTCATGTGTAAAAAAGAAATGATGATTTTATAAATTGCATCAAGAATAGCATCATTGATGTTTTATTGCAATACTTGTCTATACTGCCTCATCAGTGTTTCGTATGATAAGAATACACATTTACATAAATGTGTCTAAATTTTTTTCTCAAAATGCAAATATGAATAGCAAAGTAATAATAATAATAATAATAATAATAATAATAATAATAGCCTAATAGTCCACTCCAAATTTTATTAAATCGAAACGGAAATTCTTTTTGCCCAATTGATCGTGAGCCCGGCAGCCACTGAACAGCACCAGATCGACGTTGCTCTATCCCTTATTGTTTAACGCCAAACAAGGTAGCAACAACTCCCATCTTTTAACGTCTTTTGGTATGACGCGGCCGGGGTTCGAACCCACGACCTCCCGGTTGTGAGGCGGACGCTCTACTGAATGAGCCAACACTCCGGTAATTCTATACTTTTCAATTTGTTGCTAATTTAGGGACAGAGCTTATTTTCTATCTAAAGGATCCTTACATCAAATAACATTTGGTAATGACACAAAAATGGACATAGCACATGCATATAATTTTCCTGCTGCGTCTAATGATTATTTAAGTAATAATTCACAGGGGCAGATAATGAAATGAGGAAAACTGCTAGAAAAGGTTTGAAGAAAAAATTGCTTACCACATTGATGTCGACGAGAGGAGGTTCCACCGTTCCTCCCATCCTGAGTTCAATCGTCTTCCACCCCCTGATGGCAACCTCCAGTCTGGTATCAAACTTCATCACTGCGCTAGGAGTGAGATGAATCTTGAGCTCTGTGGTCCCGCCCACTGGTACCACGCCCTGGACCGGTGATACGTTCAGGCCGGGGACTGGGTTTGGATCTACAACCTGTGGGAGAAAATGGGTGCAGAAGGGATTGTTAATAATAATAATTACACTTATAGAGCGCTTAATACGGGCATTTCTAAGCGCAAAGGTGGTATTGTCTAACTAAGTAAAATTATTCAACATGTTCAATAGCTTAAAAGCAACAAAATAAAATATTACTAATATAATACAATTCAGAAATAGGAATGTAATGCCAACATGGACCTTCATATCTATGTATCTATGTCCCTTAGCTTAGAGGCTGTTGGGGCAACAATGAAATGGACCTTGAGACACAGGTTCTTCATAACTTCCTGTCTTCAACTGTTCTAGCTAGCTGCTCAAATGACATTCCCGTCCACTGCTTGATGTTATCAGTAACATATGGATCACACCTTCATATGTAAGTCTTTAAAATCAATTAAAGTCTACTGGAGATGCAACTAGAAGGGTACTCGATACCATCATCATTTGACTTGAGTGAAAGGTGTCAACATAAAAATAGTTTTTAGCAGGATTTTTTGGGGGAACATTGTTGTACATTTAAAACCTAGACCCTTTAATCATGATAAAATTGATAGTGGGTTCTTGTATAGCGCTCATGTCTGTCAAACTTGACACTCCTGGCGCTCCACAAATTGTTTCTCTTATCACTGACTTTCATTATGACTCTATATAGTAACAAAAATAACTGACACTAATGATCAAGATTGAAACAGTCAAACAGTGTACAATGCTAATTAATAAGAATCAAAAGAATTACCACACAGGATGCGAGGCCAAGAAAACAAAATGGTTCAACCTTCTTAGACTAATTAAAATTGTTTATACTGACCTGAAAGTATGCATGGTTGATGCTGCTGTTGTGTAGTACAGCAGTCCTAGTTGTAGTGAGATGAAGAGGAACCTGACCAAACAATACCCTTCTCTCCATAAACATCACTTGGGTCACTCCAAGCTAAAGAATGGACAGGCAAAACAACATTAGACAATTAATTCTAAAAGGGTTGGGAAAGGAAACCTGAGTATTTTGCATCATTCATTATTTGATTATGTTGGTAATGCTGGCAACATTTTAATATCATATATTGAATAATTATTTGCCAGTTGGAATTCAATACACCATAGCTATCAGATAAGTTTTGCGTCATTATATTAAGTGGCAAGTTATATTTGTCCATTTTGCATGTTCAGATTCCAATTTCATTCATTAAAAAAAGGAAATCAATAATAGCAGAAGCAGTGAGTTCATCTTCAAGAAAACATTCATAAAAAAATATGTGTACAAATTAGATAAGAGGGGGGGGGGGGGGGGGGGGGGGGGGAGATATTGGTACTTTACATTTCCACATAGTCTTCAGTTCTAAATCAAAATATACTAGTTCAAAAATAAGGAGAAACTTGCATCAAACCCCCCAAAGTTTACAATTGAGGGTGACTTACATCAGCCAGGCAGTTGAGTTTCATGGTCTCACCACCATGCACCTGTAGAGCAAACACACCGTCCTCTGGGGCATGGTAAGATGGATGAAAGACCACCTCACATTCTAGATCCTTGAAGGCTTCAACAGTACCTGTAAAACAAACGTTATCAACATCCAGCATTAGACGAACCAGTTGTGTAAATCACAGAACGTACATGCACGTATCACTGTAAAAATTAGCCGATGATACAAATATATCCATGAGTTGGGGACACTGCCTTCTCCACTATAACAAAGAGGTTATATTTTTCTACTACTTAAAAATTTCTCATATGCATACTGAAATCTATGAACTTTAACTTGAAGGTATCTCCACTACTTTATATATTTATTTAGACAGGGTGACTCATTATCACCAATAATGGTGGTCTTCCATGAGGCCCTTTTAAACTACTAACCTGTCACAGATGATACCATTTGATCAAACAGATTCCATCGTTCATTAAAAATGTATATTTTACACAAATTTGTGTTTATATTCATGTATGTACTGTATATCGATTATGTGTAAAATATCACAAAATATTTATCTTGCTCATTTTTTTTCTCCGTCTTTTTCTGCCGAGTCTTTATTAATTTTATAATTATATCAATGTATTAGATAACAAAACTTGTTTAATATATTCTCGCTTACGTACTAGTCGACATTTTTACCTTTTAATTCATTTATTTTTTGTTGTTGTAATTTCAACTTTTTTCAGCCTCATGGCTATTATTTTGAATATGTTTATTATCAACACTGGATCAATGAAATATACTACAACACCAAACTAAACCAAAATACAATACAATAGAAGCACATACCTGTGGCTGGTCTGATAGAGAATGCTGTACCTCTCTCTCCTAGGATGGGTTGCCATGTGAACTCAGCAGGATAGTTCCTCTTGTTCTCAAGACGGATTACATCCCGCAAACCTGACAAGAATAATCAAAATATTAATATGACTTAACAATCATACCCTCTTACTAATTCATTTAAACCATCATTACATTCATCCCTCTCCTCCCGATTCATTTGCCCTATTATACAATTGTTTCAGACTTTCTTTAGACTTTCAATTCTTCATTGTTCATACAGTTTTAATGTACCGGTATGCATAATTTCCTCTTGGTCGATGCATTTTATTTTCTCTCTCTAACTGTCTCTTTCTCTCTCTCTCTCTCTCCCTCCCTATCTCTCTCTCCCCTCTCTCTCTTACTCTCTCTAACTCTAACTCTCTAAGTCTCTCTCTCACTCTCTCTTTATGATCTCTCTCTCTAATTTTTTTTCTTCTCTCTCTCTCTCTCACCGTCTGTCTCTCCCATTCTCTGTGATGATTAATCTTCGTACCTGCTTCAGCGGGCATGCCTGGTGTAGGGGTTAGTTTTAGCAGCTCAGTAGAGAGCTCCAAGGCTACGGGTACTACATCAGCATACACGGTCACATGATCACGATGGTGGCCGTTGATGGTGTACTTCACATTCCTATAGCAACAGAAAGAATTTATATACTCATCGAATATCGTCATGGTCATCATATGTCTCAAGAAACCAATGTACATAATTATCTTCATTTTTTGAATTTGTAGACAATTTAAAATCTTAGAAGACAACATCAATACTGGTATTGACTTGGACAAAAATAAAAATGACAAATATTACACAATACCTGCTACAGTAATCAAGCATTTTTTTTTAATGATTTAATTAACTGAAACATTTTGTTCCTCACCTCTTGTTAATTTAGTTACAAGGAATACAATCGAACTTGGTTCAGGAAGTATGGTATTTCCAAACAAGTCTATGTCATAAATAGTATAACGCATGTAATCAAATGAAACGTGATATGAATATAATCATATTTTCTCAACATAAATCAAAGTTACTACAGCTGCCTAATCAATAAACTATTGTTCTCTGTATGATAAAATAAAATATGTTTGAATACATGATTTATGAATAATCAAACTCAAACGAATGATACATTTAATGACAAGATACCAACTTAGGATTAGCTACAATGGAAAGTAGATAGTGTACCTTGTGAACTTTCCCCTTGTGTTGGACTCAAAGATAAGAGGAAGCTCTGCCTTACAGTTGGGTGGAACTACCTGAGAGAGGGGGCTAGTCTGTCTCAGCTCACGACAATCAATCTATGGAAAAAGAAAATAAACAAACATGAGAATAATGATAATAATAAATTATACTGACTTTTGAAACACATCTTATTTACATTGTAATTTAATCGTATGCATTAACGTAGAAAATGTAGAAAGATACAGAGTAGACATGGTGGGGAGTTTGAATAAGTGACAACATATCAAAAAAAGAGAGATAATGTGAAATTTACAGGTAAACTTTCATAAATTCAAGAACAGTTTAACATCCTCAAGACACAGAAATCGAGGTATGGTAGAATTCCAAATTTGTTTTCTCCCTACATGAATTACAAAAAAAATAGAATTGGATATAAAGACATCTTTTCCTATAGTCTGCTTCGCAAGTGAAGAATTTCTTCTCCTCCTCCTCTTTGCATTATGAGCCATTTAACAACATACACAAGCTTACATCCAATAAACAGAAACTCAGGGATACCGTATATTCTTAAAATTGTTTGTATACCGGTATACATATCTATATATACTAACCTCTACAACCACATGAATAAACTGATCCAGATTGTTGATGATGTTCATCTGTCTAACACTGGTGGACTTGAGACAAACTTCACTGAAATCAATCGTTGGTGGTCCTGGTGGAATACAAAGAAACAGAGAGATTTCAATTCAAAGTGTCTCATTCTAGATGCACAAACATGTACATTCAGCAACTACTGGGTATACAAGAGAGAGCTAAGTTCATTGTACTTTTCACCCCAAAGTAGACTAATCAACATAAACAATTCCTCAAACATTTTATGGCAGTAATGTGAAAACTAACAATTGTACTCTTTCAAAAAGTAAATTAAAATGAAAAAAAAAAAAAGTCTTGTAATTCGGGAACAGAAATAGAATCCTTTTTTTAATAATTGAATTTTGTTATATTTCCTTATAGTGCCTAAATTAAAAGTCACTGATATTTTTTAAATTATTATTGTTTATCTATCTGTGTGTATCTATCAAACTCAGCCTAACGGCTTTGTGCGATGAGATACACACAGGCTCAACTCGAGTGCGGATAGATCGTATAATGAACTCATGCATCATTTGTATATAACTCACCAATGACTAATTGGTATAGCTCTTGAGGAGATAAGACCTTCTTGCAATCACTTTTCTCCTGTGCCGTCATTGGTACAGCATTGAGTCCTCCTGTACTAGGTTGCCTGGTGGAGGATAATTCTCGGTCACCGAGTTTCTTTGAGCTCAGCATGTCATAGGGACCATTCTCTTCAAACGGAGCAGCTATTGAACAAATAAGAAGAAGATTCTTGTTTAATGTAGAAAAATTTGGAGTCATGAAAATCACTTATTGTTTTCTATATTGATCTATAAATATCACTATGCCAACACTGACAATGAAATTGATAATTTTCCCCATAATATCAGCATACACATGTATACAAATATGAATGACAAATTGCAGTTCATTTATGAAAACATGGAAGTATATGATTTTAGGGCTTTCTCAACTAAATACATGATGAAATTCAAAACAAGTAGCAATGACAATTATATTTTACTTTCCTTGATTTGCCTTTGAAATGCATTAATTCTTTAGATTCTATCACACTTTATCCATACTTATCACCAATAACGAGGGGCGATTTAAGTGTTGTAGCTCTATTTCTCTCTACTTTCAGTGAGTAAGTAATAACTTTGATGGAAACATTAAAGTTTCTCGGACCTACAGCTTACATCAAGTAATACACAAGGTAGGGAAAAACAAAGTTCAATGGATATATCTCAACTCACATTTCGGTATTTCATTGACTTCATCAGCATTGAGTTTAGGAGGGCGGAGACCAGAGGCAGGCTTGATACCAATCTCGGCCTTGTTGTTCAGTTCCTTGAATTCTCTGCAGGAGACGAAGAAAAGGATGAATTAGTTATACCAGTACTTAGTAATTAGTATTACCCTAAAAAAGAAAAGGTTATGCAATTCATGTACATAAATCTATTTTCATCAAAAGACATAGAAATAGTATACTGCCCCCCCCCCCCCCCCAAAAAAAAAGCTTTCTAGGTTTAGCAATTAATTCACTTGCATTCTGCAATGAATATGCACAGTGATATGGCACATGTATTGCTAATGATGTTTGTATCACATAGGATTATATTTGAGGGTTTGGACAATATGCTACTGAAATAAAATAGTATAATATCACCCAGGAACTAATATACAATATAGGTGTAATGTAAGAACCAATATGTTCGCAAATTAGACTCACAAGAAACCTTCAAACCTTTGTTACTTGTCATATAAAACAAAATGTAGTTCTCACAGGTATATTTACTACCATATTTAACGGTGTATTAACCGCATTTTTTTGCCGCCAAAAAAAATTCAAAGTCGGGGGTGCGGTTTATACACCGTTAATTACGGTACTACTACATGATTTTTTATTTGAAGCATAATTGGTGAACTTACTTTGCTTTGAGTTTGTTGACTCTCTTCCCTCTGTTGTCTTTCAAGTAGTCATTGTATTTGTTCTTGTGAGCCATGACATCTGCAAGTTCTTCTTCATCATAGGCATAGTCAGGATCCACATAGGTGTGTCTCTCTGTCTTGGTGAAGATGGTTCTGATAGAGATAGAACAGAGAGTGCAGGAGTTAATACTTCTGTTTTATATATGAAATATGCTCAAACAAAAATGGCTCCAAACCCCATATGGCTGACAAAATAAAGCCTGGAGCAAATGTCGCAAGAGCAAGTGACAGGTAAATCATGATTCGTAGGTGAGAAATCTTGAATAAAAGACTTGATGAATTTTGCAGAGCAGTATTAAACATTAAACATTGTCTACATTTCTTCAATAAATGGAAGGGTTGTTAGGGCATTTTAGGTGACAATAGAACGCTTATGTTAAAAAAAAGTTGATAACAAATGCCATGCTAAGTCATGCAATATCTTGCTATGCAATGCCAATTCCCTGTAATAAACTAATTGGTAATGTACCATTGAATGCAACTGACTGAAATGAGAATTCCTTTTATTTCTGAATCGCAAAACAAATCATCATTTAATAGGAATGACATATTCAATTCAATTCAATTCAATTCAAAAGAATTAATTTCCGTTAAAAAACAAACAAATAAATACATGTGATAAAGTACAAACAGTTTAAAATATACAAATCATGAGCATTATGTTAAATTAATTTAAACAAACTGTGAAAATGAGTAGAAGGAAAAGGGAGCACCTGTAGGAAGCTTATGTTAGCTTGTTGATTCAGGCGTCCAAATGAATCAAATAATTACACAGATATAATAACATAATAATGAGTATTGCGCATATCTCATTATCTAGGCAGTGATTACAGCTAGAGCACATGTAATTCAATCCAGACAGTTTAAAATAAAACAAGAATTGGAATGCAATCATAATTTTCATGAGAATTGCTCCCTTACTTGTACTGCTCTCTCCTGTAACTTGGTCGTATACTCCTTGCCCTATCATTTGGGTACGCTACCAGGGCGTCGCCGTCTCTAACATGACCAGCGGACTTGGTAGAATGAAGTCCTTTGGTTTTTGTAGATCCTAACATGGCTGCCCGGGGCTCATAAGCCTCTGCCTCATTCACTTTGACATCAATGAACTGACCTACTTCTCCTACAACCAGTGGTGTGATTCCTAGGAATGACAAAGTAAGGTTACAATTATGATTAACACGACTAATACATCTTTTTATCTAATTTCGTTACACATTTGGGAATGAGGAAACAGCTCATATAGTAAGGAGCACTATTGGCAAACATTCTACAGATACCTTTTAAAGATACATATGTAGTACAAATATTTTTTTATAAAAAGTAAAAACATTAAAATATGCCTAATTTCACAAGTGGAATTTGTAAAATACCTAATACAAATGTGAAGTCAATATTTTGGCTAATTGGTCAACTTCAGGTGGGGGAGGGGGAAGGGGGCGATTAGTCGTATGCTAAATTTAGTTTCAAAGTAAAATTAATTCTTTTACATTTTTTTGTAAATTCTTGTCAAAGATTATCTTACCACAATCTAAAAGCAGCTAATAAATTTGTTTTACTCTGTTTAAATCAGCCGAAATACAAGGGGTAAAAAAAGAATCTTTTCCTTTGGTTTTCTGTTTGTTTGACTTAAAAGAAAAATGTGTATCTAAGATGTAAATGTTACATCTGGAATATGAAAATACTACACTACTCTGTAAATTTCGCATGAGGAATACCTGGGTTGAATTTGGGTTCCAGTTTCTTGAAGACAGCATTGCATATTCCTTTGAGTGATACATTTAGAGTATGAATAGAGGCTTGGATTGTACTACTAGGCTGGATCCAGCCATTCTCGCCTTCACGTTCATCAGCTAGTGAGCCCAATACATCAATGATCTGCAAAACACAAACAAAATATCATTTAGAAATACAAATATGCATGGTGCTAAGAAGAGGGATTTCATCATTTCTATAGAGTTACTTTCAGTACTGATCATATTTTTGTTGTTGATCATTTATTAATTCTCATTATTTTAAGAGTAAATGGCATTAATGGGATAGGCATGCTGGTAAAAACAAAGTGACAGCTCATGAATTAGAGGAGAATTCTGCCTTATCATAATGATGCTTTAATATATCAGGTCAATTGAGTAGTTTTCACTTCAAGTTCTTCAAATCGTCCTTGTTTTCACGAGGTGACGGTAGTGAGGAAAATCGTCACGCAAAGTGAATGCAATTTTTTTTCACTACCGTCACTTCGTGAAAACGGCGACGAAATAGATATGATTGAATACAACATGATTAAAATTAATAACTGTTATTACTTGTATGTATCCATGGAGATATTTACAAGGTATGTTATTACCAAACTGTTGTTATATTTTCTATTTTTAAGAATACCAACTCTCTCATTTGTATCACTGCTTCTTTTCTTTAACTACATAATCAAGAATGTTAGATGCTTTCATTCCACATGGTTGATGAGCAGGAAAATGAAAGAGAGTGCAAAGACGGTAGAGTAGAATAAAAATTTATAAGAAAAATATATAGGAGGAAAAGTAAGGAATACATGCGAAACATTAAACAACAAAAAAAAACATATGAGAAAGTAGACTAAGAAAGAAGAACAACATAAAATTCACAACAGAATCATTGTGGTCTAGTGGATAAGTCACCTGACTGCAAATCACAAGGTAGGGGTTCAATCCCCGTCGCGGCACTAAAGTCCTTTGGCAAGACATTAATCAACATTTGCCACTCTCCACCCATGTGTAAATGGGTACTTGATATGCTTGAGCGCTAGTTATTTGGCAGCTCGGCTATAACCAGGGTAAAATGTGTAAAGCGCCATGAGCGTCAGAGCCTGGCGGATACCGGAACTATATATATATAAAAGTGCGAGAATTCTCAACTCTGACATGACAACTACAGCTACGTCTCACGTTCCTAGACCATTTTCTTCACGCCTATATATATATATATATATATATATATATATATATATATATATATGTATCCATATTATTATTATTATTTTTAACAAACCTGTTGCTTTTTGAAGGATCCATACTGGTTTGGTTTGAAGGAGAAGATGATATCCAGAGCCTCGCCAGGTCTGAGCTTGCCAAACGAAGGAACCACAGCGAACTGTGCCACCGGCTGGAAGACGAACGAGACCGGTAACATGGTGGACTCATTGATGAGGCTACAGAGGGTGTCAATATGCTCCCCTTGGGAACACTCTCCAAAGTCTAGACTGGTCTGGGGTGCGAGGCTGAGGAGGACCGGTAGCGCTGTGCCTGTGATGGCCACCTCCAATGTGGTGACTGTACAGGGAGTAGAGTGGGGGGGGGGGGGGGGGGGGAATGGTTAGAATGTAAAATCAGAATTTAAAAGGTTCAAGTTAATCTATAAAAACAGTTGTATTTCTCTAGTTCATGCTATCAATTGACACATTGGAAAAGATCAATAGGATGGTATTCTGCATATAGTAACTTTAATTTCATTTCTGTGAAGGGATTGTAAATATTATAGCTATAGGTTATTGAGCAGATATCTTCAAGGCTTATCTATCTGCGTATGCTTCCACCTATGAATTAAGTCGTTATCCAAAGAATTATCATGATGTAGATTTTGTTATGACAGTTGACTTATCTATCCCTACAATATAAGTTTCCAGAACCCTGGATCCTTCCATGCTGAGAGAAAACATTTCTAACATCTTTACAAGCATATCTTACAACTCATAGTAAAGTACCATATTTGTGCAAATATAATAGACAATGAAAATGATATAGTTGGTTCATTTCCAACAAAGATATATGAAAGAACGCGTAATTCAGTGTCAAATCTGAGAACGATTCCAGTAAAATACATACCCTCGTTCGCTCTGCGATTGTCACTCTTTTCTCCATCTCCAAAGCCACTACTACTGCCCACGACCGTGATGTTCATGTAGAGGGCAAAGTCCTGCCTAGGCGGTGGGCTTGAGGTTCCCTTCCATCCCTGGCTTGCCGTGTCATAGCGGGGACTGAACCTGAAGTACAGAGGGCACCTCTCATAGGGTCTGAGCTGCCCCTGGTTGGGGAGGGTCTTGACCAGTGTACTGACCGGGCAGGTGTTGGCTTTGACCTTGTCCAAGCCTTTGGTAGCCAGGGTAGCTACCGTGGTCTTGGTGAGGTCAGTTCCCTATAAATAAAATAAACAAACATTTCACATTTACATTATCCTTAGAACTGCAAAATAAGACACTCCCACCAACTCATAGAGCTTTGATATATAATCTTATTTAGTAAATGCCTGCAAGAAGCAAGTTTTTGTACCAGCCTCTTCATCAGGTTGATATATGGGAACATCATCTGCAAGGAAATGGCAGTTGACTGAAAAATGAACTGGGGTGGTATTCTGAAAAGCTGGCATTTTTTTCCTTCTGCACTAACTGTATGCTCAGCAACTTATGTACAATCATGCCAATCATAAACGATTCGCCATAATTTAGATTTGTCATGACAAATAACATGTCTGTCCTTATTCAAATAAAACATCATTTTTAAGAATACCATCTCTTATCTCCTTGTATCAGCAAAGGCATAGCATTGAGACAGAGAATAACAATTCACACAAATCACTTGCGTCCAATATAGTGGCAGAATAGTATTAAAATTAAGGAAAATAAATAAAAAATAAAAAAGACAACTTACAGCTTCAGTACCCAGAGCATCTTCCTGCAGTACCGTCACAAAGTTGATTGGATCTGGACCATTGTTGTAGAGGTAGGCCAGTCTTGTCTTGTCAGTACCATAGTAGGTACTACCAAAGGGCATGCATTGAATGCTATCACCAGACCGAGGGTCAATCAGCTCAAGACATCGGTCAACCACGTTGGCTTTCAGTTGGAGGGTCGTGGCATCTTGCGCTTCCAGGGTAACACTGATTAGGAGAAGGGATTAAAAGAATAGAAATGTTATGATGGGGTCTTAATGATGTACATGTATCTGAAAGTAATTACAATTGACTCACAGCTGACAATTTGAGGCTGTTAAAATGATAAGGTTTGCGGTTTAAAATTGTCTATTTGTTTGTTTTACCTGTATCTAGCTCTAATAGACAGTGATACCGAAAGGTTTCCGCAAAGAGGTTTTATGGTTTCCCAATAATTTCATAGCAGATGACCCAATAATAAAATTAAATGAGACATTGCATGTATATTGCTTAATTTACCATCTCAGGAGAAATGTTTTCTATAAACTACAGAATTTAGACATCAATAGTCTGAATTGCACAAAATAAGATGGACAAAAAAAAGCATTCCAACAAATACCTTGATGGGTATTTGCAATGGAGAGATTTAAATGCACTCAGATATCTATGAAAAAGCCATACTTAGTTAAAGCGATACTTCAGATACATACTTCATTGTTCATTTTTTATCATCTATCATGACGTGAAAATACTTACTCAGCTTCTTCATTGAGTTTCCCACTCTTCTTGGAAACAAACTCAATCTGAAAGAGATTAAATAATGAATTGGAGTTGGAAAATCTAGTTCATAATATTCCTTTACAATTGATATACAGCTGTGCTTCTCCTTAATTAAGGAAATAATTATAACATAATGTTCAACTTTAACCTATAGTACATATATATCACAATCCATCTATATTTCAAATACTGTGTAAAACTTTGTAAATGTACTGTAGGTATACCATACTAAATTCTATAAAAAGCATAAAGGTTTGTTGCTTACATATACTGTTATTATTCATTCTTAGACTCAATCATTTGATTCCAAAAGAATTCATTAAATGCAATAGTGGCGATAAAATAGTGAAGAAAACAAGACAAGATAGCTACTCACCTTAATTGTCTGTACAGACTTGGGCTTGACAATGCCTTGTAAAGGGAATATTGTGAAGGGCTCGTTACCAGAGTACTTGATCTTAAACATGCCAGCCAAGGAACCATGGTTGTAGAGAGATATCTCTTTACTCAAAACCTTACTGTTGCGAACCACGGTCCCAAAATCAAGAGGGCTCTCAAGCTCTAGCACCGGCTGGGGTGCATATCTAGAAAATGAAAATTAAGATATACCAAACTGCATGATTTTGAGGTCAACATGTACAGTACCTGACAAATAGTGTTGTTATATTTAAATCATGCCTCATGTCAAGGTTGACACTGAAAGAACCAAGAAATAGAATTTACAGAAAAGAATGAAAATGTACAACTGGACAAGCAGGGTCTTTTCAGCAGCAATGAATATGATTAACAGACAGAGGCACAATTATGTGTACAAAAAACAAACAAAAAACAATGCAAGCAAGCAAACCAATTTGTAAAGAAAGACTAAATATGGCCAATTAACAAACATTTGTAATAATTTTTGCAACTACAGTGTAGCTCATCAGGGCAAGTATGCATTGGATATCTCAATTCTGATTTTTCTGGTTTCATGCAACAAAACATTTCACTAAGTTATCTTATCAAAACAAGAGGCTGAATAGAATATAAGGAGTTTGGATGTACTCACGCTGATACGGGCACTTCAATAACATCCTCATCTACCAGCAAAATAAGCCTGTCTTGGTAATCTCCGACTGCATCTGATCGGTATTCAACTGTTGCTGTCACCTCTAGTCCTGGTGCTATAGGTTTAGCAGGATTACTCACTATTAGCTTGAAATTCTGCAATTTAAAATATAAACACAGCACACATTTAATTCAAGTCTACCCACAAAAACGGCATGAAACTGTATTTGATTTTCTCATTTCCAAATAAGTGGAATGCAATACTCTACAGAAAAAGTCATGCTATAAAGTATAATTCTAACTTCTGGTTGGCAAGTTGACTTTCACATTTTTCTTTTCTTAATAACTATCTTGTATTTCTAGCAATAATTTTAAACAGGATCAGAAAAATGTGAAGGTAAAAACAGATCACAGCTACATCCAAAAACGAAATCTGATGATACCCTAACCTTTTTGAGACCTATTCAGACTACAATTGCTTGTAAACTTCTTCAGATTATTGTTTGAAATCAACCAACTGATTAAACATCCTGTCTAGACAAACAACATGGCCCGAATTCACAAAGGAGGTTTGTCGACAAACAAGGTTTATGTATGTCATATGATGCATTTTGACGCGTTTTTTTTACAAACCTGGTTTGTAAATAACAAAAGGAGGTTTGTCGACAAACCTCCTTTGTGAATTCGGGCCCATATGGTTATAAATCAATAATGACAATATCTCAATAGACCTAGGCCTAGATCTAATTCTTCATTGATAAAGCTTAGTTTTATTGGCTTTAAAGGGGATAAATTTTCTAGTTTCACTCAACTTCAGTATTGATTATGGGAAGTGGAATATTACTGAATTAGCTTTCACTTTGCTGCAACAAGTAGAACAAAACATGTTGTTTTGCAGAATGTAGAATCTAGATTAGATACTGGGTGAATAGACTAGGCCTATATGAGTTATGACATTACAAAACTCACTTCTTCACTTTGTTTTTATTTTCTTTTAGCTGTGAAATTAATTTAGGACACCCTTTCTTCTTCCATTTTCACTTTCACTCTCATTTTTCAAATTTCAGTTTCACTCAGTCTCACTTTCAGTTTCACTGCAGATTCAGTTTAACAAATTCAAGTTGCAAGCTCCTGATTTCAGTCTTTACAGCAAATAAATAAGTTCATTTTCAGATTATGACAATCATGACAATAGATTCATTACGACTCTTTATAGTCAACCACCGCTAATTCGTTAAGTCTGACACCCCGGCCCGGAGCCTTAGCTAGCCCCCGCGCTAGCGGTTCGTCGTACGTTTCTGCGCCTACTGCGCTGGCTTACATTTGTGCTGGGTCCGTGGAACTTGATCTGTCTGCTGCATTTGCTGATATTTTTGACTGTCACAGTTTGGCAATGTACGGTGTTTGCTTCTGCATCCAAAAAATCTATAACTGGAGGTATGATTCTCACACCAGCTATATCTCCATCCATCTTGAATCCTTATTGATACAAATATTTGGCTCTTTTGGACGTATTTACAGCATTGTTTTAGTCCTTTTCGTAGGCCATGTACGCTGCCATTTTCGTTGCTATCAATCGTAACCAAGTAAATTCATGCAGTCGTTTTGATTATTTCTTTTTGAATCTTTATACTGAAATTCATTTTTCCAATTATGTTTGTTAAAAAATTATATTTATCGAAAGATTTTAATATTTTATAAATAATTTGAGTTAAAAAAAACTTATTTCGTATTGTTTTACATAGTTTGTTTGAAAAATAATATAAATAAACTGCTTGACAGCAGGCGAATATTAAAGGTGAATGAAATGTGTAGGGTTCACTACCAGTTTACGTTCACTACACAACTACGTGGTCATCTCCCAAATTCTGTCTCTCTGTCTCTCTCTCTCTGTCTCTCTGTCTCTCTGTCTCCCTGTGTCTGTCTGTCTCTCTGTCTGTCTGTCTGTCTCTCCCCCCTCTCTCTCTCTCTCTCTCTCTCTCTCTCTCTCTCTCTCTCTCCCTCGCGCTCTCTCTCCCCCTCTCTCTCTCCGTAGTTCCCCCGCCCCATTGGAAGAAATAGTTTGATCTCACTCATCAGGGGCATAGGCGTAACTAAAATATAGGGGTATCGTGTCCCTCATCTAAAGACAATTAAATAAAAAAAGAAGGAGAAAAAATGAAAAAAGGAAAGAAAGGGAAAGGTTTGGTTTATTTCTTAAACGGCCCCACCAGCATGGAGGGATGAGAGGGACATGAAAAAATGATACGACCTTTTCCACACAATCCCTTACATTTTGTATTCATTGATTTTATTTCTCAAAACTCAGATTCTTTTTCGTACATAACATAGTTTATACGAAACTGCAAAATAATTATAACAAAGCTTTTTTATAATATGATAAACGAACATAAATACTACATAGTTCAGTTCATAATTTCACAATGTATAGGACAAAAATATATCACAATCACATAATAGGAAAAGGTTACCGCATAACACAGTTGTATTATATCCCAAAAACTAGAACAAGCATTGATATTTTTCTTCAGAAATAGACTGATACTAAAAGAACAAAAAATGAGTTTAATATTTCTCAACATATTATTATACGGAATTGAAATTATGATTTAAAAAAAAAACATTGCTCTTATCTGTTTGGTTCAGTATCTAAGATATAATATAAGTGCCCCTATTTCTCTCTCTCTCTCTCTCTCTCTCCATGCACCGGGTTGGTTAAGATGGTTAGCGAAATTATATACCGAATACCAGTATCTCGAGAATACTCATTTTTGTTAGCATGTCACACTTCCTTAGGCCAACCCATCATTGTTTTACCTATCGGCCCTATATTTAAAAAAACATGGTGCCAGGGGTGGTGGAGCTATATTCAAAATGAGGGAGGAGGCGGGGGGGGGGGGGGGGGGGGGGGGGGGGGGGGGGGGAGTAATATATCTCGCCATGTTACCTATTGTAATAAATGCCTATATTCAACATGTTTGACAATGAATATTGTTCATATGCTTTGCAGTTTCCTGTAATAATATAAATCTCATTCATTGTCCGCGGTATTAAAGCAGTTGTATTTTGGAACTAAGGGACACTCGAAACGGTGATCACATTATTAACATTTAGCGCGGGGTCCCGCCAAATATGCAACCTGCATTTCTCTAAGTTAAAAAAAGTAGCTGAAAAATAACATTTTGTAAAACTTGTGAAACCTTTTTGGGTCAAAGGCAGTAATAACAAGGGGCATGTTAATTAGACAAGGGGCAGTTGTCAGAATTGTCAGAATTAAAAATGGGCACCTTTTTAAAAGGGAAAGGGCAAACTTATTAGGAAATGAAGCCTGTTTTTAGATAAGTGCCCCTTTAATTTAGAAAGGGTCTTTTAGGCCCTCAGTTTTAGTTCTTATAAAACTCATAACTAAAACGGAGCATTTTTCAGGCTGAAAAGGGGGCACTTATCAGCAATGAAATGGGCGTATACTTATAAGAATTAAAAAGAGGCACTCTTTCGAATTGGGAAGGATCACTAATCTTTTGTAAATAGTAGCACTGTACCCAGGCGCGTACGCAGGGGAGGGAGGGGGGGGGTAGGGGTAAACCCCCCTTAATTTAATTTTATGTGGAGAAAAAAAAACATCAAATTTTGTTTTTAAACAAATATTTAAAAAATGTGCTCTTCCCCCCGCTTATTCGGCGGCTGGCTGAGTCGTTGCGATTTTCAAATTTAGCCCCCCTCGAAAAAAATCCTGCATACGCCCCTGACTGTACCTCCATTACCCCTCCCCTGCTCCTGCCTCGCCACACCGTGACCCCATAAACATTAGTACACTGTACAAAGCCGATACCGGTATGGTACAGAAAATGGTGTACAATGCGTAAACGCGTTCGTTCAACGGGGTCATTGCGTAGCAACAATCCAAACAACATTGATCCGACCTGCAGCAGCTTATCATCTGCCCGGAAAGAATAAGCATTATATTTCTACCAAAAACTAACATAAAAGCACGAAAATGGGGATTGATTACTATGAAATGCTTGCCTTGACTCGATCGGCAATTGATGCAGATATTAAAAAAGCGTGAGTAATTTTCTATCTATTTTGGGAGTGGGAATTGTGCTCGGACTGAGAACTGGTAGAACTGGCGAGTAGCGACTAGCCGCAGCAGTTGGCCCCTAGGCCTAGCACCGGCGGGCTTTGCGGCCGTAGTCGGTGTGTGGCTGCTATTTTCGGTGTAACGAAAACTTGGTTAACAAATCAAATGTTGTCTTCAATTAAAGGTCTGTGCTATATAGGGCCAGGCTTTAGTCTTAGCGGTCTTAGAGTTAGACAGGAGACTTTTTTCTTCTTCTCATAGACTCTAAATAAGAAATCTAGACATTCAACTTCAATCAAGGGCCGACTGACTGTGCGTGTCAGTGTGTGAGAATTTAATGGTAAATTTATTCTTGAAACGGGTAGATCTACTCTTGTCTGTCTTGATGGAAAGTGGTGTTTGCTGCCTGTTTTGTTAATTGCTAAACTTGTACTTTTTTGTTTTTCATCAACTGATTCTTTGTTATTAATTTGTCATTGCTAAATGCTAGTGCTAGCTAGGCCAGGCTAGTCTAGTCTAGGGTTCTAGATCTACATTAATTTAGACTACAATTAAAAAGTTACCAATTGCAATATGACTTTTTTTGAGGATGCTTTAGCTTCATAGACATGTGACATCTAACTTCCATAAAGAGCCATTTCTGCAAGAGACACAGAATTGTGTATTTGCACTTACACTGTGTTCATTGTGTGAAATAATTTTACTTCTCTTCCTTCACTTTAGCTACCGCAAGCTCGCTTTGAAGTATCACCCAGATAAGAACCAAGAGATCTTGGCACCAGAGAAATTCAAACAAGTCTCAGAAGCTTACGATGTTCTCTGTGATCGTAAGTACCGATTCATCAATTGAAAACATACCTTTTCTTTCTTTCTCCGTTTTCATGATCTCTATTGAAAAGGATCCTAAAAGGGATGAAGAAAAAGAAATGCTTCATATGAATGCAACCAAGTTGTACTGTACTATTTTTCTTGTTCGTTGTTTCATATTTCCTTTTTTTTGGGGGGGGGGGGTGAGGGGGGCTCTCACAAAATGAAATGTAATGAATTTAAAAGTATAAACATCTATTTCTTATCAAAGTGAAACTTTCAGGAGTGTGGATTTTAAAAATAAGCTAATTTTTTAAATAAAAATAATGCTTTTATGTATTTTAAGCTTCATTATTCTCAAATTGAATTACATATACATGTACATCTACATCTACATTGCAGTGTGTATTGACTCTTCACAGGTACATGTCATCAGTTTGTTTGTTCAGTGACAAAATGCATACTCAAATCAAGATGATTTTTCTTCTCTTTACAGCAAGGAAGAAGGCTGTCTATGACCAGTTTGGTGAAGAAGGTCTGAAGAATGGGGTTCCTTCTGGAGCAGATGAAGATGGCGGAGCCTGGACACAAGGCTACACATTCCACGGAGACTCACACAAAGTCTTCAGGGAATTCTTTGGTGGAAACAATCCATTTAATGGTGAGATTCTATCAAGGCATGAGGCAGTAAACTTCTTTAAACAAAAGTTCACTGCAGAAAAATTATATGGACATGAGCATAGTCTACTTTACATTTGTGTGTCTCTAAAGACACAGATCAGTGCCATATTGCTATTTTCTTTTTACCCCCCAAACTGCCTCTTGAATTCATATACACAATACTTTTGCTGCAATGTTTGTTTTGTTTGTTGGTATGTGAGGCAGTTTACTGATTCCCTGTCTAAATGAGGCTGAAGTAATATCTTGGGATATATTTATAGTTTATTTGAGAAAATAATTTGTTTCAATCAATTTAAATCTCCAAACAGGAAGTGCTTATCATGTTAATTCAAATTTCATATTTATGTGTTGCTAGATGTATGTGCTTTGTCTGAAATTCATATATTGCTTAACAATTTAAAAACAAATAATATTTGTCTTATGACATTATTGCAGTTGTTGATTTTTGTTTCATATGAATAATTTGTTTTTGTAGAATTTACCGATGGCGTTGATGGAGACCTTAGCATGGGGTTTGGTGGTCTGTTAGGGCGGGGTCGAAACAAGCAGGATCCTCCCATAGAGAGAGACCTAGTCCTATCTCTGGAAGAGATCTACCATGGTTGTACCAAGAAGATGAAGATTTCAAGAAGAGTAAGTAGAGATTAGTGGTCTATTAGGTCAGGGCTGAAAGAAACAGGGTCCTCCCATAGAGAGAGAGAGAGAGAGAGAGAGAGAGAGAGAGAGAAAGAGACAGACAGACAGGCAGACAGAGAGAGAGAGAGAGAGAGAGAGAGAGACAGACAGAGACAGAAAGGGAAAGAGAGAATTCCTATCTCTTTAGGAATTTCTGTCATCATTATTCAAAGAAGATGACAATATGAATGAATGAAAGTAATATCTTTTGGGACGTTGACATGCCCACGTTTTCTATGGATGCAATCTATAGACAATACACTATCATACCAAAATCAAAGTTTGTTCAATAAGTTGTGTGTTGCCCCTTTTCTCACAAGTCATCTTCAGGATGTGTAGCTAAAGGATCATTTCTATGATTTCCTAGCCTCTGTAAAAAGTATGCTGGTCCCTAATATAAAGTAATAGTGTTATATTGAGAAAAATTTCAATTATAATTTCATAATCATACTACAGTTTAATCTTTTTTTTGGTTATTTTAGTACCTTTTTAACAATGTAAAGGAGTACCCATACTAGTATACTATTCATGTAGATTCTAGAATTTTAGTGGATAAATCCATGTACATGTATCTAATTGAGCTTCTTGTTCTCTTTGATTATTAAGGTAATGAATGAAGATGGGCACACATCAAGCACAAGGGACAAGATCCTCACTATCACAGTGCACAAGGGATGGAGGGAAGGTACAAGGATCACCTTCCCGAAGGAAGCTGACCAGGGACCCAACATCGTACCTGCCGACATCATCTTCATCGTCAGGGATAAGCCGCATCCTCGCTTCCAGCGGGCGGATGATGATCTGGTCTTTGTGTCCAGGGTTCTCCTGGGCAAGGCACTGACTGGCTGCAGCGTAGAGGTGCCAACCCTGGATGGGAGGTTGCTAAATGTTCCCATCAATGATATTATCAAGTACGAAACCTATCATAATGATTTCATCTTTTGCACTTGACCTTGAGCATTTAATTTCTGATGGATTTGGCACCTTGCTAATCTTATACATGTATATGTATCATTTTTATTTGAGAATTAGAGTAATATGATACACCAGTAACATTGATAATTTTGTGTAATTACTTAAACATGATGATTGGAATCACACATATATGTTAGAGGGAACAGAGTTAAACATATAAGTAATTTTCTTGATTTCTATATGTGCAAGATAGGCCTTAATTTATATAATTGCAGTTCATATAACAATTTAGATCATTAACACATAGTGTTGTATGTTATTGTTGCGATCGTTCTGAATGGTGGATCCGACATTGCTGGATGAAACTAAATATTTCCAATGAAAAAAATAATAAGTTGATTTCGTTAAGTCAGACGTATGAAGGTATGAATACAATTTGATTAACTGCCAAAATGAATGATAGTGGTGAACATTCCTGTGGATGCAACATGTAAAAGTAGGCTTGCAATACTTATCCCTGTTTTTCTTCTTTTCTATTATTACAGCCCTGGCTACAGGAAGGTGGTGCCTGGTGAAGGTATGCCAATCTCTAAGAACCCCGCTCTGAAGGGCAACCTCATCATAACCTTTGACATTGAGTTCCCACGGCAACTGACTCCAGACAAGAAACAGCTCATCAAGGATGCTCTCTTATAAACTCAACCTTAATGCAGGTTTCAGCAATCTGAGTTGATTCATCTTGGAGATAATAGGACGTAAAAGCCAATTGTGCATTCATGGAAAGTCTTATATCGTCCGTTGAGAGACAGAAGGACATTAACTCTATATGTAATAGAAATATGCGAGTTTTAATATTTATGTAGCAAAGATATATACGTCCTTCTGCCTCAAAACATATGATATTTACATTCAAACATTGTCATTAACAATTGATTGAATAGAATCTTGCAGGATTATTCTTTATTTTGAGTTCAGTCGACCTAATTACCCATAGTCGCCATTCAGGGGCCTATCCCTCCATTTTTCTGCATATTTATGAATTTTGAATAAAGTTGTTGAACATGCAATTGTACCTTGGACTTTGGAAATCACTTTCCACTTTCAAAAGAGTAACATAATATGATACATGCAGCATTTATTTGCAATTTTCTGTATATTATTATATGGAAAATACCCTAATGTATTACTGTATATATTGTAAATATAAATAAAGCTGTTATTCATTGTAAATAAAATGTGGAATATTCAGTTTAAACACAATCATTGCTTCATACTGTTTTCTTTATGATGTATTATATCTCATAGATATAAATCAAAGTAGCTGACACACACTGTAAGACCAAAGTAGAAATGTTGGGAACAGATTGTGTGTTTGTGTCATGAGTAGTTATATGTGAGCGAAAGAGATCAGGGGGTGGGTGGAGAGTGAGAAAGAGAGAGAAGAGGAAAAAGGAGAGAGAGAGAAAGTAGACATGTTGGGAATGCAGTAGATTGTGTGTTTCATGGGCGTTTGTATTAGAAAGAGAGAGAGGGGGGTGGAGACAGTGGGGGAGAGAAGGTGCAGTGACATATAGGTTGGGTCCTGGTCCCGGCCCCCCTACTCGGTGTTATTTAGGGTACGCATATGCATGTTCCCTCCTTTTGAAAACACCCCCCTAAGTCTGGTGTGTAAAGTCAATACGGGCCAGATTTTTGTGTACTAAGAGCCGGACTTTAGTGCGTGAAAAGTACCCCTTTACCGGACATTTTGGGAACATGCATTGGGCCGGGGTCCTGGTATATATACTGAGGGGGCATTATAAAAGCCACGCATATATTTGAGGCTAGGGGAGACATGGTGTTGTGGGTAGGGTCATGTTTCTTTGTTCCTTTACCTTTCTGTTTTTATCTCTTTATTTCTTTTCTTTACCCCATTTTATGAGGGATGGATCAACAGTATAATCGAGCACCCCTTTAACTATATCCACATATATATGCCACTTGAGAGAGATTAAAACAATACTTCTTTCAAATTCAATGGGGTTGGGGAGTAAGTGAGAATTATCAAATTCTAAAGTTGGGCAAGATTTTGTTATCTGGGGAAAAAAAGGAAATATAAAACAGTGAGAACAAAATATTAGTGCCCATTATGCCCTGTAACTTGGGAACAAACATCCTAACCGAACACTCAAATACATACTACGTGAACCTGTAGATCGTTGGAGACGAGGTTGCTCATTGCATTCCGCACGATTTATATTTTCAATTTGCAATGTGTGGGTGCTATTGATCGAGCGACACCGCGACCTAGCTTCAAATCACGCCTGTGCTGCCCCGACCGATATACCGTACCGTACCGCTGTATTGCAGTACAGTGTAGTGGCAGCTAGCTCTAGGAGGTACCAGAGAAAGACGTAGAGACTAGAGTGACTTTGCTAAAAAATGAACCGCTTGAGTGAGGTAGTTTTTCCTGTAAGTCGAGCAGTAGGAGAGGACGATGATTCTGATGAGGAGAGTCAGAGGCTTGTAAACCCTGATTTGTAAGTAATTTTATATTTACAACATTTTCACATCTCTGATCTTTCAAGTTACTTGCATGGCCATGGGTGGGCATGGGCATAAAATTAAAAAGCCAAGCAAAATCATATTACCCCCTCCATGATAGTTGGGGCTTGAATTTTTATTACTATAAGATTTAGAAATTAGAGGTCCAGAGCAGAGGAATATGATTATCATTAGGGTCTATTAGTATTATGCATGAGTGACATGAGGTGGTAAGGAGCACTAATTTTTTCTTCTGGCGGGAGGTTTTCTGGCGCTAATGTAGACCGAATTTTCCGTCTCTTTCGTTCGTTAGCCTCTTATTGGGGTAGGGTCGGCTCTCTCTTTAGAGACGGAAGCCGTTTATACACATGTCCTTGCTAACGCCACGGCCAGTTCTGGTCGTAGCGTTTTGCCCCCAAAATCCCCCAAAATGTCATTTTACCTCGAGCATGTTATATTGTAAATTAGGCCTAGGCTATAATAAATCAGTTCCACTTACCAACTTGACTGAAATAATCAGTTTAATAGTCCCTTTTTAGGAAATTATGGGTCAAAATCGGAATCCATGTTGAAAAAGATTTTCAAAATGGATTTCGATTTTGACCCATAATTTCCTAAAAAGGGACTATTAAACTGATTATTTCAGTCAAGTTGGTAAGTGGAACTGATTTATTATAGCCTAGGCCTAATTTACATTATAACATGCTCGAGGTAAAATGACATTTTGGGGGATTTTGGGGGCAAAACGCTACGACCAGGACTGGCCGTGGCGTTAGCAAGGACATGTGTATAAACGGCTTCCGTCTCTAAAGAGAGAGCCGACCCTACCCCAATAAGAGGCTAACGAACGAAAGAGACGGAAAATTCGGTCTAGCGCTAATGTAGATGCGTATCCGTTTATATCAATTTTTTAGCAGTTTAATATCCATTCTTAGCAAATGGATTTTAGCCCAATTTTTTACTAATCTTAATCATAATCATATATTGCATTTTCCACCTGAATTTGGATCACATCCGACATCGGGAAACCTCCGTTTAGGGCTTCGATGTCGACGTCGTCGCTCAGTAACGTCTCTACGCTGTAGTCCTTCACCTCAAACTGAAGCTATCAGTCCAAAATTATGCAGACTTCTCGTAGGGTTTATGGTATCGTGCATGCGCGTAACAAAGAACTAAAAATCTTCGTTCGTTCACACGCAGTGATAGATATAACTTGTATGCCAAATATTATCATTATTGTTTTGTTTTTATTGTTGTTGATGAGTCAGGCAAAACATGCTTATTCAGAAGCCTTGCCCCGCAAGAGAGAGAGAGAGAGAGAGAGAGAGAGAGAACAAGAGAGAAATTAAAAGAGGAGAGAAAGGGATAAAAAGAAGAGGAAGAAGAAAAAGAAGGAAAAAAAGGGAGGAAAGAATTAAGAGATCGGGGGCGAGAGGGCCTTGCCCCTCCCTCCTCCTCCGCTTAGAGAGAGAGAGAGAAAAGAAAGAGAGAGAGAGAGAGAGAAAGAGAGAAGGGAATTGGAAAGAGAAGAGAAAGAGATAGAAAGAAGAGGAAGAAGAAAAGAAAAGGGGGAAAGTATTAAGAGATCGGGAAATGGAAAGAATAAAAAGGGGGGAGAAGGAGATCGGGGCCGAGCGGGCCTTGCCCCCCCCCCTCCTCCGCTAAGAGAGAGAGAAAGAGAGAAAGAGAGAGAGAGAGAGAGAGAAGGAAGAGAAGGAAATGGAAAGAATAAAAAGGGGGGAGAAGGAGATCGGGGCCGAGCGGGCCTTGCCCCCCCCCCCCCCCGGCCGCTAAGAGAGAGAGAAAGAGAGAGAGAGAGAGAGGGAGAAGGAAGAGAAGGGAAATGGAAAGAAGAAAAAAGGGGAGAGAAGGAGATCAAGAGATCGGGAGCCGGGCGGGCCTTGCCCCCCCCCCCCCCCCCCCCCGCAAAAAGAGAGAAAGAAGGAAAAGAAGAGAAATGGAAAGAGGAGAGAACGGGAAAGAAAGAAGAGAACAAGAAGAAGAAAAAAAGGGGGCAAGAAGGAGGTCCTTGGGGCGAGAGGGCCTTCCCCCTCCCGCCCCCCCCCCTCCCGCAAGAAGAAAGAGAGTAGGAAAAGAAGAGAAATGGAAAGAGGAGATAACGGGGATGGAAGAAGAGGAAGAAGAAAAGAAAAGGAGGAAAGAATTAAGAGATCGGGGGGCGAGAGGGCCTTGCCCCTCCCCCCTCCCCCCCCCTTTCGCAAGAAGAGAGAGAAAGAAAGAGAGAGAGAAGGAAAAGAAGAGAAATGGAAAGAGGAGAGAACGGGAAAGAAAGAAGAGAACAAGAAGAAGAAAAAAGGGGGCAAGAAGGAGGTCCTTGGGGCGAGAGGGCCTTCCCCCTCCCGCCTCCCCCCCCCCCTCCCGCAAGAAGACAGAGAGTAGGAAAAGAAGAGAAATGGAAAGAGGAGAGAACGGGGGGCGGAAGGGCCTTGCCCCTCCTCCGCTAAGAGAGAGAGAAAGAAAGAGAGAGAGAAGGAAAAGAAGAGAAATGGAAAGAGGAGAGAACGGGGGGCGGAAGGGCCTTGCCCCTCCTCCGCTAAGAGAGAGAGAAAGAAAGAGAGAGAGAAGGAAAAGAAGAGAAATGGAAAGAGGAGAGAACGGGAAAGAAAGAAGAGAACGAGAAGAAAAAAAAAGGGGGGCAAGAAGGAGGTCCTTGGGGCGAGAGGGCCTTCCCCCTCCCGCCTCCCCCCCCCTTCCGCAAGAAGAGAGAGAGTAGGAAAAGAAGAGAAATGGAAAGAGAAAGAACGGGGATGAATGAAAAGGAAGAAGAAAAGAAAAGGAGGAAAGAATTGAGAGATCGGGGGGCGGAAGGGCCTTGCCCCTCCCCCTCCTCCGCTAAGAGAGAGAGAAAGAAAGAGAGAGAGAAGGAAAAGAAGAGAAATGGAAAGAGGAGAGAACGGTGAATGAAGAAGAGAACGAGAAGAAAAAATAAGTGGGCAAGAAGGAGGTCCTTGGGGCGAGAGGGCCTTCCCCCTCCCGCCGCAAAAATAGAGAAAGAGAGAAGGAAAAGAAGGGAAATGGAAAGAGCAGAGAAAGGAAGAAAAAAAAGAAGAGGAAGGAGAAAGGAAAAGGGGGAAAGAATTAGGTCCTTGGGGCGAGAGGGCCTTGCCCCTCCAGCTCCCCCCCCCCTCGCAAAAATAGAGAAAGAGAGAAGGAAAAGAAGGGAAATGGAAAGAGCAGAGAAAGGAAGAAAAAAAAGAAGAGGAAGGATAAAAAAAAAGGGGGCAAAAAGGAGGTCCTTGGGGCGAGAGGGCCTTCCCCCTCCCGCCTCCCCCCCCCCCGCAAAAATAGAGAAAGAGAGAAGGAAAAGAAGGGAAATGGAAAGAGCAGAGAAAGGAAGAAAAAAAAAAAGAGGAAGGAGAAAGGAAAAGGGGGAAAGAATTAGGAGATCCGCCCCTAGACATGCGCCAATTAGTGTCCTGCCAGTGTTACAAATAAGGTATCGAAATATGCTCTTCTGACTGTAATTAAACGCCCACCCCTAGACTTTACCCCAATTTACCCCCCCCCCCCCCTACAAACGTTACGCGGGAGGGGCCTGCATGTAACACGTAAGAGTGGTGGGTGGTTTAAAAAAAAAAAAAAAAAAAAAATTGCTACGCCACTGGTTATATCAACAAATACAGATTTGCTCTCGCATTCGAAAACGCCGCCTCTGGTTGTGTTTTTTTTTTTTAATTATTTGTATTGTTATTATTATTTGTATCATTAATTCATGTATTATTGTTGTTATTATTTTTATACTCTGCATTTTCTCGACTATAATAATGATATAATTTCTTTCTTGCTCTCGTTTATTCTTTTATGACTATCTTTCTTTCTTTCTTTCTCTCCCTTCCTTCCTTTCTACCTTTCTTTTTTTCTTTGTTATTCTCCTGGAACGAAGACGAGGTGGAGAAGAAAATCAACTACAAAAATATGAATTATGAAATCTGAAATCACCAAAAAATGATGATAATGTCTAGATAATGACAACACTGACGACGATGATGATGATGATGATGATGGTGTTGATGATTTTGAAGAAGGAGAACAAGAATATAATGATGATGAAGCCGAGAAGAAGATGAAGAAGTAGAAGAATATAATGATGATGATAATGTCGAATAATAATGATAAGCCGTCAATAATGAAGATGAAAAACAAAAAGAAGATCGCGGTGGTAGTGATGGTGATGATGACAGGCGCGGATCCAGGATTTCTTAGGGGGCCCAAATTTAAATTACGTAAAATGGTGACGCTAGGTGTATTTGGCCCTTGGTCTCGTTTAGGGGGCGGCAGAGGCGGCGCTCCCGGAGCCCCACTTTTTCAAGTACCCCCAAAGTGTCCCTCTTTACATAGGAAAAGTGCCCCTTTAACTTTGTAAGAAGTGTCCCTTTATACGTAGGAAAAGTGCCCCTTTATACGTAGGGAAAGTGTCCCTTTTACTTTGACAAGAACCCTATTAATGTTTAAAAGTGCCCCTTCCCCTTTCCACCTCTGATAAGTGCCCGTTTTATTTTTACACGTACCCCTTTCCTTTGACAAGTTCACATTTTCCATTATCCATTTTCCATTATAATAAGTGCCTTTTTTTCTGGGGGGGGGGGGGGTGTTGCGAGAGCCGGGGCAGAAGCATTTCCCACGCCTGTCATATCGAAACATAAAACCCACATCTAGTTCAGAACGTGGGAAGGGGACGTCTTTCTCTCCCACCGGAAGAACATTCAGAGATGTTTAAGTCCATACAGAGCATTATAATGGAGAAGAAAAAAAATCGAAAGAATATGTATATTTAAACCTATAGAGTCGAGGGGCTCCTTCTACATGTTTTGTTACTTCGGGTTACTTTATGTGGGTGTCACCGTCATCATGAACGCTAACTACCCACCCGCGTAGCTAGGATTATATATTGGGGGGAGGGTGGTAATGAGCCCGCGAAGCGTGCGAATCACTTCTAGAGCGAAACGAGCTCCCTAGGGGGTGGGTGTAGGGACCC